ATTAACAACGGCCGAAGCGTGGGAGCGGCTCAAATGTCCATCACCCGAGGAACAGGTAAACAAAATGTGGTCTGTGCACGCACTGGAATGCTAACATCAATCACCAGTGGGAAGGAACGAAAGTCCGACACAGGCTACGACGTGGCTGAACCTTGAACATACCACATTCCGTAAAAGAAGCTTCTGACAAAAGACCAGTTAGTGTCTGACCCTGTTTATAGGAAATGTCCAGAACAAGCAAACCCATGGAGACAGAACACGGACCAGTGGTTGCCGGGGTGGGGGGGGAGTGGTGGCTCGTGCGGTTGGGGTTTCTTTGTGGGGTGACACAAGTGTTCTCAAACTGACTGTGGGGATGGCTGCACAGCTCTGCATGTGCTAACGGCCACTGAATCGCTTGAGTGAGCTGTGTGGTGAGCAAATTGTGTCTCAATTAACCTGTTAAAAATCTAAGCAGAGAAGAAAAGGTGGCCCTTGGACACGGCCACCACTGTGGGGCTGACACTGAGGACCTGAGATTCAGGAAGCAACGGCGGGGAGGAGACAGAGCCAGTGGCAGGAGCCCATGGCCTGGACCCGAATCCCAGCTGCAGCACCTCCCGGCTGGGTGAGCTGGGACCCGCCATTGACTTTCTCTAACCTCGGCTCCGTCAGTGCGCTGGGAATTGCAGTCTCCGGAAAGGGCTGTCTCGAGGAAGAGAGCAGCGTCAGGCCCGTGGAGCGTGAGCAGGGAACCAAGGCCCGTAGTGGCCGCATCCCAACATTACCTATCTGTCCTCGTTACCATCCTCGTTGTTGGTGACGGAAACGGCCGTGGATGACTCACCTGGGGAAATTTGTAGAGCCCCAGAAGCCTGGCTATGGGGACGGAAACCTCTGAGCGCGTGTCTCCGACCAGGGCAGCCCGGGGAGGGCTGAGCCCACACGTGTAGTTGGGGACGGGCTCCTCGCGTCCTGTGAGAAAGCCCATGGTCTCGTGGAGGGCTCCGTGCACCGAGTCCCCCGAGTTCCGGATGGAGAAGCCCAGCGTGAGGTTAGGAAGCAGGCGGGCGTCTCTGTTGATCTCCTCCACAGCAAAGACGAACCCCTGGGCCACCTGGTATCCCCACATGGAGAAGCTGAGGGAGAAAGAAGCCACGCGGGTTGTTTGCTGTGGTGCAGATGTGGCCAGTGTCTACGGGGTAACCACACACTCGAGGGGGGTGCCCACGTCCGGCCCCACAAACACCGTGCACATGTTACGTGCAGCACCCATCAGAACAGGCAAAGGGGTGGGAGGATGGGGAGGTATCATAGGTCCAAGGGCACCAAGTTTCCGTGAGACAGGAGGAGTAAGTTTCGAGATCTATTGCACGGCATGGTAAGTATAGTCAATAATAATTAACGTCTATTTCAAAATCTCAGGAGAACACATTTTAAATGTTCGCGTCACCAAAAGAAATGATAAGTATATGAGGTGACGGATGTGATTAACTCGATTTGATTATTCCGTGTTATATATATACATCAGAACACCACATTGTGCCCCCAAAACATACACAATTATTATTCATTGATGAGAAAACATAACGTGACTACATCAACGGATGGCGAGAATGTGGGACAACAGGGAGTCTCGTGCATTTCCGGTGGGAAGGCACCACGGCGCAGTTACTTCGAAAAACACTTTGGCAGTTTTTTAATAAAGGTAAACATATTCATTCCATAAAAAAAAGAGAAAGAACAGCCAAAAGGACTGTCAGGAACTCCCGATGTCAAGAAAGGCACGTTGGGAACACAGTACAGAAAGAGGACACAGGCACGTGGCACAGGAAACCCAGGGGCTGATCCCTGATCCCCTCAGGAAGAGATCCGTTCATTCCACCAACACTTATTCATTCAACAAACACACCCGCCGTGCGCCTGGTGCTATTGTGAGCACCAAGGGTCGGCGGTGGACAGGAGACACAAGAATCCCTGCCTGACCTGCGGGGTCCGTCAGCGCAGACACAGGAGGAAACCACGTGCAGACAGAAGACAGACAAGAAAGCAAAGGGGAGAGAAGGGCAGAGGTTGGACCCGGGGAACCACTGACCTGGATCCAGACAGAAAGGACGACCCTGAGAATCAGCCACTGCCTGAGGCCTCGAAGGGAGCTCCGGAGGTGCCCTCGGCCTTCAGGGGCCCCACCAACCCCAGCGGCCGCTCACCTGGAAGACGCCAGCTCGGCTGGCGGGGCAGTGAAATCGAACAGGGTGACGTTGTAGAAGCGAGAGATGGAGAAGCTGCCTCCAAGAACCACATCCCCAGGACGCTCAAAGCGGGGGCTCCGCCCCTGCTCCCGCCAGCCAGTTGGCCCACAAAAGGCCACCCCAGAGAGAGACCCCGCGAGGGTGGGAAGCAGAAAGTACAGCCACATGGCTGGAACAGGGCCCAGCGGCTGGTGACGCAGCAGCCCCTGTGTCGGGTGCTTTGGATGGACGGTGAAGGGGCTTTTACCTGGGAGCTCAACCTCGATCTGGGACCTGGGAGCTGGGGACACACCTGGAGCCCTGGCTCGAACTGGGGCTGGTGGCCACCAAACCCCAGGGCCATTAGAAGTTCTTCCTTCTCCTGTGGCCTCCTTTTCTCCCCTTGGCCAAGGAAAACAGCTCTCAGCTCTCCTCTGCAGACTTCGGGGAGGGGCCGATGAGTCCTCACTGTGTCCTCAGGGACCCTACGAGCCCAGGGCAGCTGCGCTGCGGTTCCCAGGCTGCTGTTTCTGGAGAGAGCACCCAGGAGGGTACGAGAGGCAGAGAGCCTCCTGGGCCCTTCCTGCCTCATCTGGACATGGGGACATCCCCAGAGCTTCCAGTGGCCCTGGGCCAACAACTCCCACCCCAGGGCCCCCAGGCAGGGACAAAGCATGTTCGGCCCCAGGAGGCGGCACTGCAGGGCTGGCCCAGGCCGAGCGGGCATCTCTGTGGTCGGAGAGGCGGGCTGTGAGCAACTCCCCAACACAGAGCAGGACGGCTTGTGCTTCCGCCCCTCGAGGCCGGGCTGCAGCTCTCTGTGCCAGAAGAAACACTCAACTAACATCACTAGCCATCAAGGACATGCAAAGAGGGCGGAGGTGGTGGCTCCAGCCTGTAATCCCAGCACTCTGGGAGGCCGAGGTGGGAGGATCGGTGGGAGGATCGCTTGAGCTCAGGCATTCAAGACCAACCTGCCAAATTGTGAGACCCCCGTCTCTACTACTAATAAAAATAGAAAAAATTAGCCAGGCATCGTGGCACGGGCCTGTAGTCCCGGCTACTCGGGAGGCTGAGGCAGGAGGATCGCTTGAGCCCAGGAGTTTGAGGCTGCAGTGAGCTGTGACGATGCCACTGCGCTCCAGCTGGGGCAACAGCGCAAGACTCTGTCTCAAAAAAGAAAAAAAAAGGACATGCAAACAGCACAGTGAGGGGTACCCCTTCACATCCGCTAGGATGGCTATCGCAACGACAACAACAAAACATTAACAAAAGAGAAAAAAAAGCAAAAACTAACAGGTGTTGCTGAGGATGTGGAGAAACTGGAACCTTTGCACACTGCTGGTGGGAATGTAACATGGCGCAGCCTCTTTGGAAAACTGGCAGCTCCTCAAAATGTTAACCATAGAGTTACTGCAGGACCCACCAGTTCTACGCCGCGGTACGTGCACAAGAGAAATGATAACGTACGGCCACACACAAATGTTTACAGAAGCATTACCCAAAAGCGCCAAAAAGAGGGAACAGTCCCCAAAGCCCACCAAGAGATGGATGGAACATTATGAAGCCACAAAAAGGAACAAGTCCCGATACATACTATCATACAATGTGGCTGAGCCTTGAAAACACCAAGCTAAGTGAAAGAAGCCAGACAAAAAGGCCGCGTGTTACGTGACTACATCCAACTGAAATGTCCAGAATAGGCAAATCCATCTACCTAGAAAATGTCTCCACAGGGTATCTGCCCCGTTAGCAGGTGGCTGCCAGGGTCTGGGGGGAGGAGGGAGGGGGCGTGGCTGCTAATGGGCACGGGGTTCTCTCTGGGGGGATGGGAAGGTGTTGGAATTAGATAGTGGCGATGCTTTCACAACTTCGGGAATACACTAAAATATTTTGTACATTTTACAAGAGTGAACTTAGTGGTATGTGAATTATATCTCAATAAAGCTCTTATTAAAAAAAAAAAGAAGAAGTAAAGAGAAGAAAATCAAACTAATGTGGAACATTCCAGAGCTGCAGAGAGCATTATTCAGAATTGGGAAAACTAGATCAAGGGTTCTCAACCTTGAACTATTGACATTTTGCACCAGGTAATTCCTGTGGTTTGGGGCTGTCTAGTGCACTGCACGAGATTCAACAGCAGCCCTGGCATCCACCAGAGGAATGCCAAAGTGACGTCATTTACCCCAAGGTGCGACAAACAAAAACATCTGCAGACATTGCCAAATGTTTCACGGGGGGTTGAGGACCGGTCCCTGTTAAGAACCCATGTATTCGAGAATCCAGATTTCTAGCTTTTCCCCCAGTTCAGAAGATCTTGCGCCGAGGGGTGCAGCCTGCTCTGACAAACACGGGCTAGGGCTGGGCTGCAGGTGTTCCTCAGCCGGGGTCCTGCCTCGCTCACCACAGTCCCCGCTGCTCCCTATTGCCTCCCGGTCCCCAGACACAGGCCCGGCAGCAACTCGCACAGGTCGGAACTGCACTTCTCCTTAGAACAAACACTTCTTTTTTTTTCAGTTCTCTATCCAGACAGAAAATCCCAACACCATAGTGTTCTAAGAACAATAAGAGAAATGGAAACCTTTGTAGAAATGTGTTTCATGAGTATCTATGGTGGATCTAACCGTTCTCACTACAGGATGATTTACAAACCAGCCAGAGGAGTGTCTTCCAGGGTATGTCGCTCTGCCTGCAAAGCCCTTTCCGGGGATAGCTGTCCAGGGGGTACTAGGGGGTTCTTCCAAAGAACTCCCTGCCTTCAGCACCCAGACCCAGCCCATGAAGGGGGAGAGAGTCCTGAAGGACCATCTCTCCAGCAGCTCTAAGAACACACCCAATGTTAATTTTAAGCCTAATGGTTAAGGGAAAAAAGTAGTGTTTTCACATAAAATACTAACCCTCCAGTTGTATTTGTAAACAAGCTCTGCTGGATCTTGGTTTTTCTCCCTCTGTGTTAACAAGGCCATTGGTCAGTCTCCCAAGCCGTTAGTCTGGAAGAGTTCATGGAAAAACCAGACAAACATCATGCATGTGGGGTGTAAAGACATTCATCGCAGTGTTACTTGTAACAGTGAAAAATTGGAAATGAGACTGGTTTTGGACTGATTATGGGAATGAGGACAAATGACGATGATGACGGTGGTGGCGATAACAATGGTGGTGACGATGGTGTTGGTAATGATGGAGGTTATCACTTCAGCTTACAGTCATAGAGGGACAAATATGAGGCTGACGTCGCCCCACGGGCTTTTAAGGGATCCATTCATTTTGTCTGCTATAAGGGGTCTCACTGTAGTGTTACTCAGCACAGCTTTGATTGCTCAAGTAAGGAACATCTCCGTGAGTTATGTGAGCATTCTAGTTCCCCTTCTGTGAATTACATTCACAGAAATTTCAGACATTTAGTTTATTTAGTCTATATTCTCTTGGTGATTCTCGTCATTTAAAAAAATTAATCTGTAAATTCAGGACTCAGTCATTCTCCTAGCAGGTATTTCTCATGGAGAAATGAAAACCAACGTTTACACAAAGACTTGTACCCAAATGTCCACAGCAGCTTCATTCGCTCAAGCTCCGAACTGGAAGCAACTTAAAATGTTCATCACTAGGTGAATGGAGAAACAAACTACGGTAGATCCATACTACTGCTTTCTGTCTCGGGGCTTTTTCACTGCTCTATAATATGCCACTTTGTGAACAGAGCACAGCGCAGCCAGGTTTCTCCAGCGGGCTCTTGGCTCTTCTGTAGAGCGATGCTGCCACATTCTTCTGCTTGTCTCCATTGCCCCTGTGCTCAAGTTTCTCCAGGGAGCGAGCCTAGATGCAGCAAGTTTGGGTCTCAGTGTATGAGTACGTTCAACTGAAGTAGAAAATGCCAAAATGTTTTCCAAAGCTCACCACTTTGCACTCCATCAACAATGTGGAAGAGGGGCTGAGAGCCACAGTCTCTCCATCCTTGATTATGAAATCTCTAAGTGTTTTCCACCCTAGTGAGTGTGAAATAAAACCTCACTGTGTTCTTGATCTGTGTGTCCCTGATTGCTAATCAGATGACGCCTCTCTTCACAGGTGTGTTAGCCCCATGTACATAGGAGAGTGTCTTTCTAAGCTTGGGGCAGGGATAGTGAGCAGTTTTTGTGTCCTGTTTGAGAAAGCCATCCCTACTCCCAAGTTTGAAATATTCTCAAATATTTCCTACTAAAAGCTTTAATATTTTGCTTTTAGTTTCATGCCCCAGATCCATCTGGAGTTAATTTTTGAGCATATTGATCAGATGAGGTCTTCCTTTCAAAAGATTCAAAGAGCGGCCCTTTAAACTGGGACCCTGGGTTTTCCTCCCATCAGCTTCAACAGAAACAGTTCTGCATCTTTTAAATAACAATTTTATTGGGATATAATTCACATAGCATAAAATTCATCTTTCTACAGTTCAGCAGGTTTTATTTCTTATTTATTGAGACAGGGTCTCACTCTGTGATCCAGGTGGGAGTGCAGTGGCGCCATCACAGCTCACTGCAGCCTCCAACTCCTGGGCTCAAGCGATCCTCCCTCCTTGGCCTCCCAAAGTGCTGGGATTACAGGTGTGAGCCACCCATGTCCGGCCCCAGTCCAGCAGCTTTTAGTATATTCTCAGTGTTGTGCATCCATCACCACGATCTAATTCCAGAATATTTTCATCACTCACAAAAGAATCATCATTCCGCCTTCCTCTAAGCCCCGGCAACCACAACAGTTCTGCTTTTAGCTCATTGATTTTTTAGATTGGGGTTTCAAGTAAGATTCCATCTGGGACAAAAGTTTCTGCTGCTTACAAACAGTCTGGAAACCTCTGCCTGGTGCCAGGCTGCCTCCCAAGGGATCTAGAGTTCCAGTGGCCTGTGGCGGTATCTTTCATTATGACTCCAGAGACAAATTAAGTCAATATTCTCTCAAGAGAGATTTTTCCAGTGGGTCACAGAGTTTTAAATGCACAAATGAGCCTTCACTGCCCCAAAGAGCCAGGCCAATTTCAGCTACTAAGAAAATGAACCAGGGGACCCATGTCACTACAAGTCCCTAATTTATAAGGAGAATAATAAGCCCTTAGCACCCTCATTTTGTTTTTCCCACTGTGGCTTTTGCACACAGTGGCACTTGCATACAACACCCCAGGTACCCACAGCCAGCGGGAGATGACACAGAGGCGTAGCCCTGACCACTTAGCTAAGGCAGCCCCTCTCTGCCACTCCTGGGACTTTCTATTTCCAGGCCCCGTTTTATTTTCTTCTAGGCACTTACACTTCCACCAAGCATCTGCTTTGTTTACTTGTGTGTGCCCACTGCATTGTGGGCTTCCGAAGGGCCCAAGCCGCGTCAGTGCCGCTCCCTGATGTGCTCCCTGCCTCAGTGCCTAGAACACCTGGCACACGTAGGCACCCAACAACCAGCTGTTCGGTGGATGAATGGTGCTCAGTCCCAGGCCCCTGGGGGTGAGTCCTGGTTTCCTTCCAGAGCTCGACTCTCTTGCTTCCTCATCTCAGCACTGGGCAGCCCCAGCCATCCCCGTCTCAGCCCTAGAGCTGAGGCATCTCCTTAAATCTTAATCTCCCCCCATCTTACTTTCAGATAAAAAATGAGTAATATTTTAATATATGTCCCAAATACATATTGGAGTGTACTTATACTATATCATTAGTATTTAGAAGAGGATTTGGTATTAGAATTCAGCATAAGTATGTTCCAAATACATTTTGGAACATAATTATAAGATATACTACGAGTATTTAATATAGTATTTAGTATTAGCATTAATATTTAGTATAAGTATGCCTCAAATATACCTCTGGGACATATTCATATCAAAAAATTATTCATATGAAATAACTTATATAAAACGTATTGTAAATATACTAAACACGGGACACACCGATACTAAGAAAGTATTCGTGGTTTACCTAGAACTTACATTTGAGATTTTTGTTCACTACTGTGGAACACAGTGACACTTAAAATTACTTATATATTTACATTAAAAAGTTTCAAAAATGGCCGGGCGCGGTGGCTCACGCCTGTAATCCTAGCTCTCTGGGAGGCCAGGCGGGCGGATCGTTCTGAGCTCAGGAGTTGGAGACCAGCCTGAGTAAGAGCGAGACTCCGTCTCTACTAAAAATAGAAAGAAATTAATCGGCCAACTAAAAATATATAGAAAAAATTAGCCAGGCATGGTGGCGCGTGCCTGTAGTCCCAGCTACTCGGGAGGCTGAGGCAGGAGGATCGCTTGAGCCCAGGAGTTTGAGGTTGCTGTGAGCTAGGCTGACGCCACGGCACTCGCCCCAGGCAAGAGAGTGAGAGAGACTCTGTCAAAAAAAAAAAAAAAAAAAAGTTTCAAAAATATACTAAATATGGAATACACTAATACTGAAAATAATATTCATTGTTACCTGAAATTCAAGTCTAACTGGGCATCCTGTACTTTTATTACTTAAATCTGGCAATGCTATTCTGGGACATACTTATACTTTAAACATATTTATATTAAAAGAATTTTTAACATACGAATATGAGACACAGAGTAAAAAGGCAAAAAGATCGACATTTACCCGTAGTTTCTGCCCCGCGGCGGCCGGCACGGTAGTCTCTCCGCAGGGCGCCCCTGCCCCGCCGCCTCGCTCGCGCCCGCGCGACTCGTTGCCAAGGCGACCGAAGCCCGGGCGCCGGTTACTGAGGGCTCGGCGGGGGCGGGACACACCGCGGGCGCCTTCCGATTGGCCCTGGCAGCTCGTGCGTCACAAGCCCGCCCTGCCGGGGAGTCCCGCGGTGCGTGACGTACCCAGGGCGCCGGCGGCGCGCTGGGTGGCGGGAAGGTGCGCTGCCCAGCGAGGGTCGCCATGACGCAGCGCCCCAGGCCCGAGCGCAGCCCGTGCGCGATGAGTCCGCCGCGGCCCGGCCGGCTGTCCGACCAGTGCGCCCGTGGGGCCGGCAGACTCCGGGGACCGGCCGGGGTCGCGTGAGCGGAAGCGCGCGGGGCGAGGAATACGGGCCCGGTCGGGGGTCGCGCCCGAGGCCGCGCGAGGGGCTGAGGTCGATGTGTGGCGGGGGCTGCCACTTTCCGCAGGGCCCTCGGCCCGCTTGGCATCCCCTGTCTGTTGGGGCAGAAAGCCCCCCACCCGCCTCCCTCTGTCCGCTCCGGACCCCCTCAGCCCCGCGCAGCCCACGTTCTCCCCTGCTGATTCCCCCACCGGATCCGCAGCCTGTGGGAGCACCGTCCTCGCCCGCACGCCGTATTCCCAGTCTGCTGCCCTCCCACGCCTCCCCAAGTCTTCTCATTTAATTATGGTGCTTCCTCGTGTGTCCTAAGTTCCCAAACCCTGCACGACGCCTGCCCCCTGTAAACTCCCATCGCAGACCCATTCACTTACTCCTGCAATGAATTCGTCTACCATCTCAGTAGGCATCCAGCGTTGCCCCTGCCTCCAGTAGAGGTTGGCGCCTGGCCTTCAGATCTCAGTGCCCACCCTGGGTGAACTTGGCCCTTCCACATGGCATTGAGCTGTCCAAATGCACTCAGACACCCCTCCCCCATCAATCCCAATCCCCCATCAGTCCCAGGTGCCTCCCAAAATAGGCCTCTAGGACTAGGGGCCCCAGACCCTCCTCCGTGGTTATACAGACCTTGGCCCAGCCTCCTGATTATCCCAGGCCCCCTCCCAACCATCAGCCCAGGACCCTTTCAACCCAGGCACCCCCCCCACTGGTCCAGATTTCCCACACGAAGATGTCGGCACCCCCGTAGACCCCTGGTGCCTTCAGCTAAGAGTGCCGCTTGACCCCAGTCCCCCATAAGCTTAAGCCTCTCCCCATGGTGCTGCGGGGCTGCAGCCCTCCCCGGAATCTGCCCGGATCTCACTCCCTGGGCACTTGACAGAATAAGGCCTAAAACCCCAGGGCACAGAGAACTGCTTGAACCTGTGGGGCCCTGAAATGGGCCCTTTCTCTTTTTCCAAAAATACACACATAGAAGTGTTAATACAGCATAAGAGAGTTTCTGCCTGTGGCCTTGGCAGGGATGACCAAGCTTGTAAACTCCCCTCAGCGTGCAGGTGGTGAGGTAAGCAGGCTTGAAGATTACTGGCGGGGCACGGTCCTGGCCAGTTGCCCTTTCTGCCTCCCTGCCCTTCTCCTTGCTCCTGGATTGTAGAACCCACGCACAAGAACTGTAGGACTTATGAAAAATGCACCAGAGGATGGAGAAAGAAGAATCATGTGGAAACCCCTCCTTTTCACTTGTGACATCATAAGCATTTGCCACTACGTTAAAAATCCTTCCTAAACATTCCTTGTTTTGTTTCATTTTTCCATGCTGATGAAGGTCGCACGTGATCAGGACACCATTTGGGGGAGATTCAGAAAAATATGAAGAACACAAAGCACCGGGCTGGCCACTGGGAGCCTCTTTCCCACCAGTCCCGTTCCAGACACTCCCACCATTTTGCATCCCGCCTTCCCGCCCCTCATGTCATCTGTGCATCGTGTATATACTTCCTTTGATCACGCTGTGATGTTACTGTGCATTTTGCACAGTTGAATACTCCCATCACATGACTGGGGGAAGGGTAATTGATCCCACCAAGCACGACTGTTGGGTATTTTTGTAGTGACTCTCGGTGCCTAAATCGGGCACGCCCTGATCTGGCGCCAGGGGAGTTCCCACAAGGGAGTGCCCCAAACCCTCCCGAGATGGGGCCGGCTGGGATTCCAAACAGAAGTCCTGAACACCAGGGCGATGGGCCCAGGGCGTTACTGGGGGAGCTCACAGAGGGCTGCATCCCCGGGTGGACGGAGGCGAGGGGTGTTCTACCCAGCTGTGTCCGCAGGGAGGGGTCAGGATATGAGTTTACAAGGGGTTTGAGGAAGTCTTCTCAGGGATGGGGCCAGTTTCTTTGTAGTGAACTTAGATACCTCAATCATGCCCCGGGATGTTCAAGGCCCAGGTTTGTGTTCAAGTCCCCTGGGAAACCTGCAGCTGGCTGGTCACAAAGAGAAAGCGGGGCACCGGGGGATGGCCCTACAGTCCACCCCCAGCAGCTCTGACATCTCGCACATCCCTGAGCCAGCAGGAAATCTGGGGTCACCTGTGAGGTCCTTTCCCCTAACTTTGTGGAACACTGCGGACAGAACCCACGCCGGCAGTGAACACCGGTGCGCGTGCCCAGACCTGCAGCCTCCGTTCCCAAGGCTCACTAGCACGGCTTTCTGCCAGGGAGCCCGTCCTGGAAAGCACTTTCCCGCAGACGGCCAGGAGTCACCCCCATCTGGCCTGTGGGATGTAAGTGCTTCTGCAAATGCAGCAGGACGGACGACTGCACCTCTCAGGCTGTGGTATGCTCACAACTCTCAGTCTTTAAAAGGGCCCAGGTTGCCCCTGCAAGGCCATCCGCAGGTCCAGCGCCATTCGCTTCTGTGGGACCGCTTTCCTCGCTGTGGCTGTGGCAACGTTCACGGTCTCAAAACCAAGCTCGATGTCACCCAAACTGTGGCTCGAAGCTCTGAAGGGCGTTCGCTTTTCCAGCAATAACCAACAGAGCCTTCCGGGAGCACACACAGCCAACACGTGACCCCAGTGAGAAAGAGCAAGGCGGACCCCCCGCCCCCGCCAGACGGGCTGGTTGAGGGGCCGAGGATGGAGTTGCGGGTGCTGGAGTGTGCGAGGGAAGCCAAGGGTGTCCCCCCCAAACCCCCCGGGGGGAGCCGGGGTCAGAGGTTAGGACCACAGAGCCACCAGTGCCACTCAGGGCTGTCCTCTGTGTCCCTGAATCCGACGGCGCAGACACCGGGCGTCGGGAGGAGCCCTCAGCGCCTGGTGTCCTTAGGGTGGTTGTGTTGTTCCCAACAAATCTCCACCCTCCGGGCGCGTCCCTGCTGCAGGGCCAGCCACCAAAGCCGCCCCACTTGCCACACGGCCCCTGCCAGTGGGCTGGTCTTCGGGGCAGCTCTGGCTTTGGCGGTCCCCTCCCAGCAGGACATGTTTAGGGGAAAACTTAGGTGTGTCCAGAGGTGCTCCGTGTCACCCCCCAGCCGCTCGCCTCTGCGCGTGCGGCGCTGGGGTATCTAGGTGCCACTTCCGTGCGTCGTTCCGCTGTCCGGGCTTGTGCAGGGATGCAGTCTGCGCCCAGCAGCAGCATGCGCGGCCCGCCAAGGAGTCACCCTGGCTACTCGGGCACAAGACCGCATGCCCGGCAGGTGGTCGTCCTCGCGTGCGGGCCTGTGCCGGCTGGGACAGGAAGACGTGTCCGAGGGCGTCCAGGTGCCAGTGGATGGAGCAGCCCGGGAGAGGGCAGCTCGAGCTGACAGCGGAAAGACAGAGACGAACTAGGGAGGGGGGCCTCCTGCCCCTCCTCCGTTGTAAGACTGGCGTCGGGACCCCCGTAATCTCTGCAGCCTTGGGGGTCTTCGCAGGGGCTGCCCCAGACCCCCCGTCCAGAGCAGGAACAGTGGCGGCTCCACATGGGCACGTCAGGCCGAAACCCACCTCTCTGGTGCTGCCCCGGCGGCCACGGGCACAGGGCACTGCCTGCCCACTGCCCACGTGCCTCCCACGCTCCCCATCCAAGAGGAAGTGGGGTCAGGCCCAGGGCAGGGGTGGCCTCCTGCCTGGGGAGGAAGGGTCCCATCCAGCCTGGTGGCACTTCCCACCCGTCCCGGGCGTTAAGGGACGAGGAGAGCAGAGGCAGGGTGTTCCCTGCGGAACTGGGCTTAAGGCAGTGTCTGATTCTTCCGGAGCCCCCGCTCGCGCCGGGCCCTTCCGTGGACCAGACGTTGGTAACCCACTTTCCTGCACACCGGGGCCTCATTCGAGGCGCGGTTCTCAGTGAGGGGCGTCCTATCGGGACCTCACTGTGCTTCCTCCAGAGCCCCTTTTCCTCCAGCCGCCCTGCCCACTCTGGGTGGTGAGGCAGATGGAACCGCCCTCCTTTACTGCCCGCTGGATCAGGGAGCCTGTGACATACGTCCCTTGATCACTGGTGACGGTGCCCCGGTACCACGCAGGCGTTGAGAGGGCCGTGGACTCGGGAAGGCCGACGTCTGATTTGCCCTTCGACAGGAAAGCCGGCAAGGAGCCACCCAGGGATCTGCGTGTGTCTGCGTGTCTGCGCGTGTCTGCGTGTGTCTGCGCGTGTCTGCGTGTGTCTGTGAGTCTCTGCGCGTGTCTGCGCATGCGCACGCACCGGGCTCCCCTCCTCCCGGGGAGGCCCCTCACTCAGTCCCCTCGTTTAGGCTCCCCCGGCCCTTGCGGAGGTCGGAGGTCAGACTTGCACCGTCTCTTCTGTTTCTGGGTGGACACTGGCGAGCCGCCTTGTGGGGCCAGTTCCCCAGTAGCGTTTCCGTGACTTCCCTCCCGACGCATCCAGCCTGCTGCGTCCGCTGCTGCAGAAGAGGCCGCGGCTCCCGCTCCCACGCCCCGCTAGCGGTGGTGGCCGGTGAGCGGCCGCGTGCGGCGCTGTGGCCACAGCCCCCATGTCTGCCCACGTTCTGCCCCACAAGGGCCTTCCGCTTACGGACCATCGACCCCTTTCCTGCCGCGCTACCCACAGCGTCTGCCGCTTCAGGACTGCCCAGGGATCTGCACACGGAGTTACTGGGCGCGGCTCCGTCCCGGGCTGCTGTCGCGTTCCAGACTCCACCCGTGTGGGTGAACAGCCGCGCCAGCGCACCCGGGAGGCTGGTTTTAAACCCACGGTCTACCGTCCAGGTCCCGGCAGGGCCTGTGGCTCCGCAGACAAGCCTAGATGCACGGCGGGAGCCCCGGCGGGAGAGCTGCCTGTGCTGTGGCCGCCACGGGCCTGGCCAACAGGCCGTCCACCGGCCGGTAACCGGCGAGCTGTTTCCACTTCCATGGCACGTATCCAGGGAGCGCCTCCGTTTCCAAGAGGCTTGGCAACCTGCAAGGAACCAGCGCCAACAGGCACGGCTTTGCTCGGCCCCTGAACACGGGGCCAGCCGGTTCCTTCCCAGTCCGCCGTCTCGGGGGGGCGGCACTGCCAGGGCGTGTTCTTGCGCCACCGAGGCTCTTGCCTGAGCAAAGGAACCTTCTCCTCCAGCACCTGAGTCCCGTCCCACCTCCTCTTTCAGGCCTGCGATGGCCTGAGACGTCGGGCCGGGTGGGGAGGGCAGGTGCGCCGGTCTCCAGCGGGCCTACGAAGGTGCGCGATTCTTTCACCGTGGGCCCGCGCGGATGCCGCTACCTCATCAGTCGTGGCTGGTGGCAAACCTAAGTCTGACTCTTGGCCCCTGGACTTCCTGCAGGTTTACCACCATTCTCTGGATTGCAGGTGTTCTAGGCCTTTTGGGTGGCCTTCTGCAAATGCTCAAACCTGAAGAAGTTAGCAAAATAACCCCATAATGTTCCCGTGAATGCCAGGCTCATCGCCCTAAACCACAGCAGACGGCAGGGGCTGCGCAAGTGCCCCTGGGAGCCCCGACAGAAAGGCCCACTGTGGGCCCTCCCGGGGCAGGCAGGCTCGCCCTGGGACTCTGGGTCTGAGGAGATGCTGGAGAACGCGTGTGCTAAACCCAGGGCCCCATGCTGCGTGCCTCAACATGGAGGCAGCCTTTCCAGTGTCTGAGCCACATTTGGGATGCCGGGGTGTGTTCCCCGAGCCCCCCATTCAGCTCTCAGTGTTCGGTGATCCCTGAGGCGTCGGCGTTTACACCAGCCGCACGGCCCACTCTCCTGCTGCAGCCACCCCCGCCGGGTCCACAGTGCCCGGATCTCGGCCTGCAGGAGCCCTTGGCCGCCCGGCCTGCCGTCCACACCACGGCGGCTGCTGCGGACCCCAGCCCTGACCAGGGCACTGCCGCCGACACGCAGAGCCACCAGTGGTTCCTTTTCCTTTGTTTCTGCGTCTCTCCGCCACCCCTGTAGTCCAGCTGCAGAGTCTGGCCGGGGACCCTGCCTCCCCGACTCCCGGTAGTTGGAGTTCCCATCTTCCCTCACGACCCACTAAGCCCGGCACTGGCAGCCCATGGTGGAGCCAGTGCCCTTCTGCCCTGGGAGCCGTCGGGGCACAGCCACTTCGTGGCTCCTTGACCCGCAGTTCCCATGGAGGGAGGAGCGGCTTCAGCCGCGCTCGCTGCTCTCGCCATACCAAGGCACCACGGCTGGCAACCCACGAGTCCAGAGAGACTCGCCTTTCTAGGACCCCCCCAGCGCAGGGAGCGGAGTTTGGCAGCGCTGGCGGCGAGCCCGCCGGGAGCCTCCCCGAGGGCGTCAGCCAAGTGCTGTGCTGTGCGCCTCTCGTGACCACACCCCTGGCCACCGTGACAGTCCCAACTTCCTTCGAACTTGGTCTCTAGGTCTCTCTCTGGAGAGTGGCCAGAAGCAAAGAGTCACTTTCCAGGGGAGTCGGGAGTCAGGGGAGACACGGAGGCTGCACGCAAAACACGCCGCAGCAGAAGCGGCCTTTATTACTTACACGTGCGGAGCGAACAGCGCCAGCCGCAGCGGGAGCCGTCGGGGACGCGCTCAACCTGAGGGTGGGCGGCAGGAGGGCCTGAGGGCCAGAGTCCTCACTGGGTCCATGACTTTGGCCCGGAGAAAATGATCTCGGACCTCAGGTGTCCAGAGCTGTAAGAGAGAAATACGTCGTGTTTATACCCAGCAAGCCTGTGGTCACTTGTAACAGCAGCCGCAGAGAAGCAGAGACGAGGATGATGGACCCAGGGCTGTCCCTGGACTTTCGCAGTTCCTAGGTGTGTTTGCCTCTGTGGGCCCCCGTGAAAATATTACCAAGTTATATTCATGAGCCTTTATAAAGTGATATTAAAAATTATATATTTTATGACCACTTTGGCATAAAGATGAATACATTCCAGGATGGAGTGGTCATTATGTTATGTTCATTTTTTTTTTCCTTCTAGTTTTTTTTCTATTTTTTTGAGATGGAGTCTTGCTCTGTCGCCCTGGGTAGACGCAGTGGCGTCACGATAGCTCACTGCAGCCTCGCACTCCTGGGTTCCAGCCATCTTCCCGCCTGGGACTCCCGAAGTACTAGGATTAGGAATATTCTTTGTTTGGAGGCACCCGGCCTCAGAAAAAGAATATTAAAGGCTAACACTCACCTAACGTTGCAGCCATGTTTTGCTTATTGGAAGGGGCGACTTGGGGGCAAGAAGGCAGGCGAACATTAGTGGAAGATGATGATGGAGGTGGTGCTGGAGAGGACGGCGTGGGTGCTCTGGAATCAGGATTTGGTTCTGCTGCTGGAGGTGGGAGCTCACCGCTGAAGTCGGTTTCTTGAAGGTGGCATCTAGGGTTGTTTGCACAGCCTTTTTCTTGTTTCCATCATAAATGTCCTTATAGCCGCTGAGTGTTCTCACTGACTGCACAGTAAACCTCTGTAAACTGCCCCAGGTGATGTCAGGCTCTTGCTCCTCAAGCTTAGCAAATCCTGCTTTCAATGAGACGAAAGGCTTCGGCTAGTTCTTTTTGTTGTGAACTTTCTTGGCTCTGGATCTCCTGAATCTTTGTGTTCTCGCGATTCTGTCAGCTGCTTCCGTATCTATCTGACAGTCTGGCCGCCAGCATCAAGACGCTGCGCCAACGGTCCGCTTATGCCACGCAGGTTTGTTTACAGTCGTGGAAGAAACTGTTCCCCAACTATCAATTTAATTATCTAATTGTAAACTACCCTTCCGGGGGGCCTTGGGAGCCCATTCGGAAGCGTGGAATGCCATGGGTCCGGTCGTCTGTCACCGGGCACTGCCTGTGCTACCACTCGCCCCTGGTCAGAGCTGCGGACACACAGGCTCAAGCCAATCCACAAGCCAGTCGGTATTGCGGACCATACACCGTGGTGTACTTCACCGATACATAAATGTTACGGATAAAATTCCCACATCGAACGAAGTGACATTTAACATCAAGGGAAAAGGGGATAGGAAACCAGTGTGAGGAGAGTGATGTGGACCAGCAGAGTGGGCCGTCTGGTCAGTCTTTAGCATCTTGCAAAGCAGAGTCCTTGATTTTGGCAGAGCCTTTGGCTGCAGATGCCGGGTGCTGACCAGCAGTGACAGAACGGTGCCTAGCGAGATGGCCCTGTGGAGCTGGTGACGTCCTGCTCTTGATATAGCCCTTGAGTCCTCCCGTGAGGCTGGCAGTAAAGGGCGTGCTGGTCATGCCCTTGCTGGCCAGGTGTAGTCTCCACCAATAAGGGGGACACATGTGGTCCTGTTGGCATGGTGCCTTTTGAGATGTGAGGCGGAGTCTTTTCTAAGACGGAGTCACTTACATCAAGGATGCTCTTGGGCTGGATGCCCATCGAGGGCAACGGCGGGCTCCCCGGGGCAGCTGCAGGGTGTGGAGCCCCAGGACGGCTCTGCCCGCCCCCTCCCCGTTGATCCACCCTCCCTTAGCACCACCAGAGCCCAACAGCTCTCTCTTCTGTAAGGAGGAGTACACGCCAACGTAACGGTAGTGCTCCCAGCAGTCTCGCTGAAGGAAGGACAGCCCAGGACGCCGTCTGGGCGGGCGGCGGCGCTGCGCCACGCGCACTGCAGATGGAGCCGGCACAGTCGATGCAGGAGTGACGGCGGCTCTGGAAACCCGGCGGATTTCCTTGGTGACGGCTCCCACACTATCGTCTGGCTACGGGGAATGACCCGCAGGAGCAAGGGGTCGTGTGGGGGCCCGTCTGGAGTGCCCGGGTGCCGGGGTGGGGGTGACGCACGTTGGCTGTGGCCTCGCTCTCGCCGTCGCCCGGGTGATGCACCCGGTCGGTCAGGGCCTGTCCGCCTCCGCCGCAGCCACGAGCAGCACGGAGGGACTTCCAGTGAGACCATGTTTGAGGACAGGGACAAGTGTCTCCTATGGCAGAAATGGTCAGAGCTGCTGGCATCCGTCGGAGGGTGTCAGTGGTGACATTCTGAATTACTTAATGTGCATCCTGTGGGCGTTTCTGGCCATCTCCGTGGTGCGTGTTTGCACCACGCGCCTGGGCCTGTGGGCAGCAGCTACGTGGGGACCTGGACCCTGCTGATGGGGGAGCTGCCCCGGAGCTGGCAGCCTCCCGGCCAGAGCCTCGGGAAAGAGCCGCTGCTCACTTTGGCAGCCTCTTTTCCAAGTTCTGCAAGAACGAGGCGAGAGGCATGAGGTGCTTTCAGAGGCAGCTGCTACTGCAGTCTCTGTTGCCTTTGGAGCTCCAGTTGGCGTGTGCTTCTCAGCGTAGAAGAGATCAGTTTCTCCTTCCCCTTGAAGACCTTGTGGATGTCATTGTTCGCAGGCCTGCAAGCGGCCTTCGCCAAACCATTCATCAGTCTCCTTGGGAACAGCTGTCTGGTTCTCTTCTCTGTGGAGTACCACACACCCTGAACTCTTCCCCTTCGTCTTCTGGGCCTTTGGGAGCTTGCAGGAGACCCTCGTCATCAGCTGCAACATTGCCAGGTGCAGGAGGCGCAAGACCACCCGGCTGGGGAAGCACCGGTGCTGAGGGTCATCCTTGTGACCGCCATCCCCGCCTACCCCAACTCCACACGCACCAGAGCATCCGCGGGCTCATTTCCCAGCCGCTAAATGACTGTGGGGCCCTTGGGTCCTCCCAGCTCTTTGGCTACATCGACGACCCCAGCATGACCCGGCTTGTGGGCTGCATTCCAGACTGGCCAGCGGTCCAGGTTTACTTGGCCCAAATACATCATGTTTAATTAGCAACAAGATGGCAATTATTTTGGGAAAAACACAGAATCGTTGTTTAAAAAATAAACAAAAGATACATTATTATTCCACTGAAAGATTGCCGGCAGGGACAGCCAAAACAAGAGCTCTGTGTGAAAGGAGGGGAAAAGGATGAAACCTTTTTTAAAAAACAAACCCATCAAATAGCATCGATGACTGGGCATCTCACAGCTTTGACCCATATGGGTTTCAAGCTGTGTTTCTTAAAGAGTTTGCTAACTGCTGTGGGGCATGTGGGTGGATGTCAAGGGTGTGGTTTGTATGAGGATGAGGATGGATGTGAAGCACCAATGCCTACTCGAGAAACTCTTACCCCTTGTGCTCAGGGCTGATGCTCATAACTTAAAAAACACATGAAGCTTTGAGTCCAAAAGGCAAAGAGCTAGTGTACGTATTTATTGGTTTCTGGGGTTTCGCTGCTATGTTACATTTGCACTTATTTTGTTGGCGAAGAAGAAGAAATTAAATTTGAACACAATGAAAAAATAAAAATTAACAAAAAGGTAATGATAGCCCAGCGCAGTGACTCAACCCTGCAGTCCCAGCTCCTCAGGAGGGTGAGGAGGGAGGACTGTTTGAGCCCAGGAGTTGGAGACCAGCCTGGACGATATAGCGAGATCCATATAAAAAATTAAAAATACAATAAAAAGTATAGTCTAGTAAATACATAAGCCAGTAACAGTCATTTATTATCATTATCAGATACAGTAAGTCCTCAGCTAACATGGTCGGTACATTCTTGGAAACTGTCCTTAAGCGAAACAGTGTGTTGAGGGAAACCAACACCACCATAGGCTGACTGGCACAGCAAGAGTTACGTTCCTACGGCATATTTCTGCCCACAAAAATATCGCCAGATGCCTAAATAAAGACTCAAAACACTTGTAATAGTAAAGGCTGAAATCCACGTGAGCTCTACATACATTTAAGAGAGATTAGCCTTTCTGCTCAGCTGTTCTGCGGAGGAGGGCCATGCACCCAGCGGCAACGGCAGGGACCCTGACGCCCCTCTTCACCTGGGCTGGCAGCAGCACGTGGGCACGCGGTACAGCCGACCGGCCGAGAGGTCTGCAGAGGCAACGCCTGGCAAAGGCATCGTGTGTCTGGACCCCACCCCTCCGCAGCAAGGTGCCCCGAGTGAGATGTCAAGCCGAAGTCCGCCCTGGCAGGGGCTCCAGCTGGGAAGAGTTCAGGGCAGCTGGCACCCACAAGAAGGTGGCCCTGACCGCTGGTGTTTCTGTGGCTCAATGAAGGCAGGACAAGTCCACCGAGTCCCTGCGGGCCGACGTGTAGCGGCCGAGGGAACAGCTCTGGGCTCAACCACTTCCCCAGAGAGCCCCGGGCCTCCAGGAAGGGAACCAGTTCCGCGGAAGAGCTCGCACCGCCCCCCCAGACAAGCTGACGGGACCAGTCACGCCCACGTGGAATGCCACAGGGAATACCTACAAGGAGGAGGAAGCCGGGGTCACCGCGGGGTAATGCAAGTCCCCGCGCGGCCCATGCCGACGCCCGGCTCTTCAGCACAGGGGCAGAAACAGCCGAGGAAGCCTCAGGACAGGATGTCGAAAGAAAAAATAAAGCCCCTCGGGGGACGTGTGACAGATCAGCAGTAAAGCTGAGAGGAGAAAAAGAAAGATTAGTAAAAGCAAGTAAGATAATTACTGACCCGACTTTTGGTGGGCCAGTGAGTGGCCACGGCTGCCGCGGTGATGGGCGGCATAACCGACGGCCAAGTCGCTGAGCGCTCTGGCACCGATGATCGTCACGCATTGGTACGATGACTGGACACTTTGTGAGTTTCCATTTCACAACACACTCGTACTCATTCACTCATTCGCTCTCCAACCTGATCACTCCAGTGCGGGGGTGCGAGTGGTGCCGGTCCGCCCACGGCAAGGCCCGCGCACTCACACTCGCTGGGACGGGGCAGACGCGCCAGCCCCCCTCGCGTGCACATCTGTGGGATGTGGGAGGAAACCGGGGTACTCGGACAGCTCCCAAGCAGACGTGGGGAGAACACGCAGACCACACAGACGGCGGCCCCACTGTTGTTGAACGTGTCGTTTCAGACGCAGGGCGGAGAGCGGCGGTGAAATCCTAGCTCACCGCAGCCTCGAACTCCTGGGCTTGAGCGATCCTCCCGCCTCAGCCTCCCCCGGTGCTGGGATCGCAGGTGTGCGCCACCACGCCCAGGCGTGATTCTTTTTCCTCATCAATGGTATAAGGAAACCACGGTAAACGAAATGACGTTATTGGAGGAGCTGCTGTGTCATGTGCAATACTGAGCATTGCGGGCCGGGCGCAGTGGCTCACGCCTGTAATCCTAGCTCTCTGGGAGGCCGAGGCGGGCGGATTGTTTTGAGCTCAGGAGTTCGAAACCAGCCTGAGCAAGAGCGAGACCCCGTCTCTACTAAAAATAGAAAGAAATTAACTGGACAACTAGAAATATATAGAAAAAATTAGCCGGGCATGGTGGCGCATGACTGTAGTCCCAGCTACTCCGGAGGCTGAGGCAGGAGGATTGCTTGAGCCCAGGACTTTGAGGTTGCTGTGAGCTAGGATGACGCCATGGCACTCACTCTAGCCTGGGCAGCACAGTGAGACTCTGTCTCAAAAAAAAAAAAAATACTGAGCATTCTGTACACGCTATACTTTCACACAACGTACTACGTCTGTTTCCGCACAGTAGGTCTATTTGCACCAGCATCGACACAACGCCTGGACAACACCTTCCCGAGATGTTAGGACGGCTACCACATCACTAAGTGACAGAAAATTTTCTGCTCCGTTGTATTAATAATATTTCTTACCATAAGGAAGCATTTCTTTGAGGTTTAACGTGGAATCAAACAAACAAAATGTATGTAAGCACAAATCCATGTTGAGTCACAACACGGCGAAGGACAGAGTGAAAACAAAACTGATCGCGGAAACCTCGGACGGAGGAAAGAACAAAGGCGGATGCGCGTGGGTCAGGAGCTGGTGTCTCCTGCCGCCGGCCCGGTGCCAGAGAACTGGGGCACAGGTCTTTCCTCTGACCCCCACCGACGTGCAACTCCAGCTCTGGCATCGAGGACGCGGTCGCCGCAGCTGCCCGTGCAGCGCGTGCGGGAAAATGCAAGTTCCCCACCACACACAGAGGAACGAACACTGGGCCGTGCTGGCTTGGAGCGCTCAACGAAATTGTCACAAAATGGATGGAACAAACGCCAGAAGATAGTTGTGAGGCACAAGAGACGTGCCTCGGCACTTTCCCGAGGCAGAGACAGCAGGTGCGAAGCAGCCCTGACTGCTTTAGAACTGCCTCAGCTTGGGCTGGTCTGAGACTTGCTTTGGTCTCCCTCTCGGTTTGGGGTGCGGTTTTTCTGTGCTGTCCCGGGACTTTTCCGAAACAGCACCACACCTTCCATGACGTGGAAGGTCACGGAAGACATTTATGCCAGTTGCTGGGCTGCAGCCGCGGCATGGGCACCCTGCCCATGCTGACAGCACCGGTGGTCACCGCTGCCGGGTGTGCGGCACCTCGCCATTGCCGGGGGTCACGCCTTAGTGCTGCTCTACGCGGTCACCAAGAAGGGAATCCCGGAAGAGCCGAAGGCCTTCTCTGAGCTCATCCCAGAGGTCAAAGCTGACGACAGCGTACGTTCTGCACCGTGCCAGTGGGCAACAAGAGCGACGAGAACCGCGGGAGGCAGCCCTGAACGACGGTGCCAGGCGCCATGTGTTGGAGTAGAAGTTTCCATCCTGGAGACCTCGGCCAAGGCAGATGGGAAGGTGCAGGAGCTGATCCACATGCTGCAGAACCGCGAGAAGAAGCCCCCCACTTGCCTCCAGGGACTCCAGAAGAAATCCCAGATGCCCGAGAGCTGTTCGAGGTTGATTTTTTTGTGCTGTGGTTTTACACTGTAACAACTAGATGTCAATAAACGTAACTTTTAAGTGGATAACTATTATTTTCCCCAGGCAAGAGGATTCAAATTATTAAAACATTGGCATTTGAGGAAGAGAACAGGAAGGAGCATAGTGTATTTAAAATAAGACCTTTTTTGGGGCGGCCAAGGCGGGAGGATCTCCTGAGGCCAAGAGTTTGAGACCGCCAGCCTAGGCAACACAGCAAAACCCTATCTCTACAAAAAAAATTTTTAAAAAATAGCCAGGCCTGGTGGTGCATGCCTGTAGTCCCAGCTACTTGCGAGGCTGAGGCCGGAAGATCGCTTGCGCCCAGGAGTTGAGGCTGCAGTGAGCTACAATCATGCCACTGCTCTTCAGCCTGGGTGACAAAGCGAGACTCTGTCTCAATAAAATAAAATAAAATGAAATAATCCCTCAATATCAGTAAATAGCCAAGGGTTCAATTTCTCCTTTGTTCCTGCTCTCTTTTTCCTGGCTAGTTGGTTTGTATCAGGACCCTCCAAGGTTCAGCTGCTCTTAAGGAATCTCCCTCCTCCCTCCCCTCTCTCTCCCTGCTCCCATCTCCCCACCTCTCACCCGAGGCTCCGAGGCTCCGCCAGTCTGGATCCCGGGGTCCCACTCACTGCTGGCGCCCTTCCTTGGAAGGATCAGAGCCCAGATCAGTGCCTGGTGGCTCATGGGGGCTGTGGGGATGTTTCTGCGTTTGGAGTGCAGACACAGCCCCGGAATGTCTCAGTTTCTGTGCCCAGCCCAAGTGCGTCACCTGCTCCTCAGATGCCTCTTGATGGCGGCCCTCACTCTGCAGTCAGGGGAATTAAAAATGTCCCTGTTGGCCGGGCGCGGTGGCTCACGCCTGTAATCCTAGCTCTCTGGGAGGCCGAGGCGGGCGGATTGTTTGAGCTTAGGAGTTCGAGACCAGCCTGAGCAAGAGCGAGACCCTGTCTCTACTAAAAATAGAAAGAAATGAATCCAACAACTAAAAATATATAGAAAAAAATCAGCCGGGCATGGTGGCACATGCCTGTAGTCCCAGCTACTCGGGAGGCTGAGGCAGGAGGATCGCTTGAGCCCAGGAGTCTGAGGTTGCTGTGAGCTAGGATGATGCCAGGGCACTCTAGCCTGGGCAACAGAGTAAGACTCTGTCTCAAAAAAAAAAAAAATGCCCCTGTCTACACACATACATATAAACCAACACACGCGCGTCACCTGCTCTTCTCTCCGTGAAACCCCTGCCTGCCCTGATGACAGTCACAGACACTGAGAGAAGCAGGGAGGAGCCAGAAACCACCAGTGGGGTCCCCAGCGGCCAGTAACAGAGAGAAGAGCAAAGAGGAGTCCTGCCTTTGCCCCTCAGATGGTGGCTCCTCTGGTGACTATTTAGAATTCAATGGATGTTTATTGCACAATCAAAACTCGCATTTGGTAAGAAATAAAAACCAATAGTCCAGCCAAACACGCCATCCACATCTTCCCAATTTGAGAGCAGGAAGAATCTTGCACCTTAACTCCCTCCCAGGCTGCGCCAGGCCGCCCGGCCCCAGCTCCCTCCCTCCCTGCTGTCACTCAGCAGTCCCCTTGCTCTTGGTCCTGCCCAGTCGATGGGAGGGCAGCCTCTAGTCTCCAGGTAGGGGAGGGGCAGCAGAAAGCAGAGAGAACAGCTCAAGACAGCCCTTGTCAAGGTGCACCTGACTAGCTGCTTCTCGCTTTTTGCTTGACCTGACGCACCTTCTCCAACATTCCCGATTCGTGTTGACAGGTATCATGGTTTTCCCTCTGGCACGAACACTGCACAAACTAGTGACCCGCATCGCGCAGGTTTGCTGAGCCCTGCTGGTAACAGGCTCCGAGCACCTTGCTCTCACGTCCTCATTTGAGGCCCAGAGAAGAAAGTCTCCTCAGCCAGGTCGCACAGTGAGTGGGCTTAGGGCTGGAGCCTGGACACGAAGCCAGGCACGTCCATTTAAGATTCTTGCTGTTCGCCGGCAGCTCAGTCCCCTCCGGTGACCCCACTTTGGGCGGACTTGTGTGCCGACAGTGGGATGCGAGCCCCGTGCAACTGCCCACCCTTTTGGGGTTTGCGGGCAAGGACGGCACAGCCTTGGGGAACTGGAGTTCGGAGCCCCGGTGGGTAATAGTGACCCAAACTGCGGCACGGGCCCCCGGGCTCTTTTAATGCTCTGCCCTCAGTCTTGAAATTGCCGACCATTTCCGAACAAGGAACCTGGCATTCCATTTTGCACAGAGGCCCCTCGAGGTATGTTTTGGGTCCTAATAACAGTCCCCTGGGAGTGTGCCTTTAGCAATGCCTGTGCCTTGGCTATTTGGTGGCAGGGGGAGGATGGCTTTTAAGGGGCAGCTGCCAAGCAGGCCCGTGTTTGCCATTCCAGTGTCTGAGTGGATCCCGGATGCAGACCTGGGCTCAGAGCCCACCCGGCTCCCGCAGGGTCCGCTACCAGCGCAGAGGCCCAGGCGCTCGGCACCCGCGGCTCGCTGGGTAAGTGCCTGGCTCCTGCAGGAATTCTGAGGGCTGGCAATGGAGTCGGGCCTTGCCGGGCGTTAACCCCCACCCCGAACCCATAGATTTCGCCAGTGGATGGAGTCAGGGACTCTGGTGGTGAACTCCACGCCTCCCCCAGAAACTGTGTGCACCATCTGTGGGCACTGAGATCTGGGCACCCTCTAGGGCCCCCGAGAACAGCCACTCACAGGGTTCCACCCCACAACCAGGGTCTCGGCCTCTCCGCCTGAACGGGCTGGCCGAGGCGGACAGACTAGGGTGCTACAGCAAGGGGTCACCCAGAAGGCCAGCCAGGTGAGGACAAGGCCGCTGGGCTGTGGGTGCACGGCCCAAACATGTGCCCATTTATCTTAAAGAAGGACGGGGGAGGAGGATGCAGGGCTGTGCTGAGCAGAGGAAGCGCATGGACTTGGCTCAGGCAGGGGGATCCCCCATGCCCTGGGGCGCGGGCAGGGAGAAGCCCAGCCCTGTCCCCTCCCAGGTCACCTGTCTCCCTCCCCTCCCCAGGCTCCTGGGCCCACTTGCCTCTGAAGCCCAGTATCCGGGATGAGCCAGAGGACGCCACGCGGCCCTCCTCAGACCAGCAGGCAGTGATGCTCGGAGCAGCAGGCCCCAAAACACAGTGGCCGCCTCCTTTCATCTCTCACGCAAGTCGGAGGAGGTGCCGCCGCAGAGGCTGCTGCAGGGGTCTCGGGAGGGGCCCGGGCGCCCCGCAGAGGGCGGCCCTTCAAGTGCGTCCACCGCGGGAGGGTCTTCACCTGGGTCACCCACTTCGTGGAGCACCAAAGCCCTACGGCGAGGAGGCCCTGCCCGTGCCTGAGTGCGGTAAGGCCTGCACAGCTCCGTCCTCGCCGAGCGTCGCAAGATCCACCTGCTGGAGCTGCCCGGGAAGAAAGCCCCCCAGAGCAAGGGGGACCACGTCGGGGGGGGGGGGGCCCAGCCACGCAAGGCCCCAAGAAGCCCTTCTAGTGCGGCATCTGCGGGAAGGCCTTCCCCTGGAGGGTCCACCTCATCGACCACCAGAAGCTCCACGCTGCCCAAGACCACGTGTGACCGCCAGGCCCCAAGTCCCTTGGAAAGATCCTGGACAAACGCTCGGCTGCCGCCGCCCAGGACGGGAGGGCCTCGCGCTGGAGGTATCGGATCTCCCACACGGCCCTCAGCTTTTCAGTGCATCCTACACAGCACGTTTGCAAGCGGCTCAAAGAGGAGCTTAATTAATGTCTTATATTCCAGAAGCCTTTTCCGGGGGACCCAGCTTCCCTGTGACCTGGTGGCAGCGTCTGCCGCTGGGTTTTCGTAGCGCTGTTGATATCCTGGAGGCCGGTGAGGGCCAGAGCCGGCCAGGGGCAGCCCCAGCTCCGGAGGAGGATGCGGCTGACCCTGCCGCCCTCCAGCCAGCTCAGCCGGCTTGGAACCTAGCAAATAAACAGGGTTTCCCCTCCTTTTTTTGGTAAAACGCACGTAACATAAAATTCACCATTTTAGTCATTTAAAAATGCACAACGCAGTGGCATTAAGGACATTCCCAACACTGTGCAGCCGCCACCATCAACCAGGCGCAGAAGGTTTTTAACACGCCCTGGTGGCCCCACAGGCACCCACTCCCCACCCCCGCCCTCCAGCCCCTGCCAGCCACTACTCTGCTTCTGCCTCCAAGGATTTCAGGGTCAGGGTTTTTAGGTCCGATCAAAACTGACCAGCACATGTTTTGTTTGACTCACAGAAGAAGTTTTTTTTGGGGGATAGATGCCGACATTTTTTTAAAAAACCATAAAAATCAGGCTTTCCAGTCGGCCTTGGAGAACCAGATGCTCTCCCAAGAGCGGGGCCACCTCTCCTGGCCGGCGGCTGGAGCAGAGAGCAGGCAGCCGGCGTCCACAGCCCCCGCCGCCATCCCCAAGCCCTGGTCCCGGCACTTGTCCTTTTTCAAACGAAAGCCTTGAAGTGTTTTTTTTCTTTTTTTCCTTCCGGCTTCACTTGGAAACACAGTGTTCACTTGACTTTGAATCCATGCAAGCAGAGACCTTCCCTTCGAATCATTGCTAAGTCGCCTTTCAACTCAAAAAGCCTTCGGACCTGCCCAACCCCTCTGCTGCCCTGCGGGGCCTCCGCCCCCCAGGCCCCTCCGCCGCCCTCACCTGTCAGCCGTCACCTCCTTTGCCTTCGCCTCCTTTCCCTTCTCAGAACTGCCCCGCACTGGCCTCTGGACCTGGCTTCTCGGCTCCCTCCGCATCCCCGGCTTTTCCCTGCAGCCCCCACTAGGGGCGTCTGGCTCTGCCCCAGGCCGGGTAGAGACTGCCATCCTCAACGCCCTCCGCCCTGCCTGTTTCCACACTCACTCCTACTGAAGGGCTCTTCCTGTGCCTCAAACAGCCTCCACTGCCACACTTTACCTCGCCCAGCACAGAACCAGCCCTCTAAGGTGGGAAGGCATGAGTGGTGAGTGAGTGAACTGAAGCCCCTGCCAAGACACTATTTTGGGCTGTAGTAACCAGCCAGGAAAGCCTCGCTCGGACCTCTGAGGAGGCAGGGGAGCCACAGAGAGACAGTGCCAGCCCCCTCTTCTCTTTAGGTTCACCCCACCCACTTCCACATGCCTGGCTCCCTGTGCCTTCCGCAGCCAGCATCCCCCCAAAAGCCCCATGCAACCGTCACCACCATTGTCTGCCCTCCAGCCCTTGTCACAGAACAGCTGCTGGCCCAGTCCTGGGAGCTCATGCTCTGGAGAACCAGAGTCTTGCAAGCCACCTTCCTCCCCACCCAGCCAGGGCCTCTAGGGTCAGACGACGGCTGGACGCTGCTAGGCTCTGAAACTCTCAAAATGATTAAAAACAAAAAAAAAAAGGAAGAAATACGTCCATGGAGCTATAACTGCTACGTTATATTTTAAACGTATGTGTTGAACAAATTAACTTTTTAAACACAAAATGCAGTGGGACACAGTTCTGCTATCCATGCTATGGCGACAGAGTTGCTTGAAGCTCCACTGATTTGCAGTGCAACTGCTCGTGGTGGGGGATGCTGTCCCAGGCCAGGCAGAGGCAACTGCTGTTCTAGGAGAGGCACAGAGAAACAAAAAGCAGACAGAACTAAAAGGAAGCTGAGAACGAGCTGAGAGGACCCAGGCATGGTTGGGAGGAAGAAGACTGGAGAGGAGACGGTGGCTCAGACCACAGCGAGGGCAGCAGAGGAGGAGCCCTCAGCTCATCTTACTTGACTGGTAGTGTGTTTACTAAAACCTCTGAAATCCCTGCCAGCTTTTAAAGATCAAGAGATTTCACACAGAAATCCAGATATGTGGTTTCTTTGGAGAAATCCAGACATGGACACTGGACTTACCAGTCCACATGATCCCACTTGGCTGGAGCCAAGCAGCATCTGTCCCTTTAGAAAAGGCCCAGGTCCCTACAGGCACATTACGTTTTAGAGACCTGGCTGAGAAAAACCAAGGATTGGAAGGTTGGAGAAAGGAAACAGAGGGGCAAGTCTGAGAGAGCTGGACAGGGCCACCCGGCCCCACATCAGGGCTGGGGTGTATTCTTGGCAAGTCCAGTGTGGCACCACCAACAGCTCACCAGGACTCTGCCCAGAACTTTTGGGAAAAAGACTGCATCGTGAGTTGTGTGTTCATGTCTTTTGATCAAGTAAATTAGGGAAAAGAAGAAAAGTACACATTTTGTGGATGAAAAAAATCAACAAAAAAATTAAATATTTTGTTGCATTTGGTTTGTGGGTGAGGGATCTGAAAAATGGCATTATATATATTTTAAAGCCTTTTTACTGCAGTAGAGTGAAGAGCAGGCTAGCACTCAGTATGACAATCACAAATGCAGAAGTTTACAGTCTTTAAATATACAGGACATTTTTAAAGAAAGGCCAATAAGCTTGCCTTTGCTTTGTTTACATCAGTGCATTATGATTTTCAGCCACATCTTTTCATAATCACCACTGTTTTAGAGATATGAAATTTACAGTTTTAACTAATTTGTGAACCAGTCAAATCTTTGCAAGTTTCTTTGTGTATAAAGAAAATGTAACCAGCTAAGTTTTTCTTTTAACATGAGAATTTTTATCGTGTTCTCTACCGTTTTCAGAGTCTGAGTTGTTTCAGTCAAAGAAAAACACGCCCTTGTCTTGAAACCTTTTCTTAGCTTCAAATCCAGCTCGAAGGCCCAGACTGATTGGAATCACTCAGTCCTTTTAAAAGGGCAAAAGCACAAGGTCCAGTCTTGGTTTTCTTACATCATCTCCACTCACTTCTCCATGACTGTCTGATGTACACTGGAGAAAAGTAACCCCACCTTAAATGGGGAACGGTGAATGCGCCCACCTCATCTACCGTGTGCTGCTGTACCCGGGCCTGCTCCCAGCAGGCTTTAGTGAATCTCCAAAGTGACAATTCGGTCTGTGCGTGCACATCAGCTTTGAACATTACGCTGCTGTTCAAATGCACAATTTTGACAATTACATAGCCACGTGGTTATAAATGCTAACGTGTCTTGATGTGATGTTTCCTATAACCATGTAATAAATGCAGCCCAGGAACCGTCCATGGCTGGGTCAGAGTGGCAAAATGCAAATCGCTCTTTTGTTTGGGATCTTGGTGACTGTGCTTTAAATCTGTGCGTTCTTTCCATCACTGTTTTGCAACAGTAAAGTTTACAGTGTACTTTCCAACGTGAACGCCATATGCAGTTACGCCGGGGAACTCGGGGCGCTCCCGCAGTCTCCTCTCCGGCCTCTCGGCCCTTGTTCAACCGCGCCAAGGCCCGTCCCACCACGGCCTCCGTGCCCCGCGCCCTCCTCCGCCGCCGAGACCCCCGCCTCTCCCGACCGCCCGGGCGCCAAGGCCCCAGTCAGTCCCCGGCTCCGGAAGAGCGGGGCCGCCGTCCGCAAACCCCTCCGCAGGCCGCGCCGCCGACGTCCCCGCGCCCACAAACCAGGGCCGGAGCCCGAACCCCGAGGCGCCGCGGGGCGGGCACTGAGCCGCCGGAAGTGCGCGCGCGGCCCTCCGGGAGATGCAGTCCGGCGCAGGCGCAGTGGCGGCCGAAGGCGTTCCGGCCTTTGTGTCGCCGTCGGGCGGGTGAGTGAAGCGCGGGAGGCCCGGCCGCGCGGAGGTCCGGGACCTTCCCGGGAGCCCCAGCCGGGGCGGGCCCCAACCCTCGCGCGTCTGTGTCGACCCCTTTCGCTGCTTTGGGCCTGGGGAGTGTCGCCGGGGCTGGGGGGCGGCGCCTGGTGTTGGTCCCCTGGTGTGTGGGTCCCCGAGGGGGCGGGGCCGGGGAACTGGCTTGAGCAACGGGGGCGGGGCCTCCCGCCCGAGGCCCCGCCCACCCGCCCCAGCCAGCGCGCAGGTGCGAGCGAAGGTGCGGGCGTCGGCACCCAGGGCCTGACGCTGAGCAGGCGTTCACTGAGGGAGGGTCCCCCACCCCCGTCCCCGGGAGCAGTCGCCGCCGTGCACACACGCCCCCAGGAGCACCCGCGCCGTACCCACCAAGGCGCCACAGACCCAGCCCTGACCCGAACCCTACCTTGTTTTACGGAAGAGGAAACTGAGGCACCCTGGAAACCATTGTTGCAGCCACTGTGCCCTGTGTGATGGGACACAGCTAGCTCATTCTTCACCTGGCCTGGTGTGGCGGCTGGGGTGAGGCGCTCCTGACCCAGCCTCCCTCGCGCCCTTTGCCCCCAGCAGGAAGTTGACGTTCTGAAGTCACGAGAGGTAACGACAGCTTGGCCCGCCCGGGCCTCCGTGATCGAGGACGCGGGTTCTGGCCTCATGGGCTCTCCAGCCGCCCTGGAAGACGGCGGGCGCTGACCCCTGTCTGGGTGGGTTTTGTGCCGCTCTCACGCCTGCCTGAGGCCGCTGGGTGACTCACCGTTCTGTAGGTCTGAAGCCCAGAGTGAAGGCGCCAGCAGGCCCCGGGCGTCCAAGATGGCGCCGTGAGTGCCCGTCCCAGAGGGCTGTGCGCGCGTCGCGTCGCCGCCTCTTAACTGGACCGGAGCCCCTCCCCCAGGCCGCCAGGAGAACAAGCCTTGGTGGGACACGCGCGTGTCCTCCAGAAGGCCATGGGCTGGGGGTGGTGGCTCACGCCTGCAATCCTAGCACTGTGAAAGGCTGAGGTGGGATCTCTACAGATTATTTAAAAATCCTGCCTGTAGTCCCAGCCACTCAGGAGGCTGAGGCAGGAGGGTCGCTTGAGGCCAGGACTTTGGGGCTGCGGTGAGTTTTGATTGGGCCACTGCATTCCAGTATTAGCATGTCCCAGACCCAATCTGAAAACACCAGAAGCAGGGAAATATGAGATGAGGGAGACATACTGGGTCTAGACACAAACTAGATCCGTGTCTTCCTCCAATGTGTCGAGAGCCCCTCCCTCCTCAACACTTAGCTCTGTACTTTTGTCTTAGTCTGTTTGGGCTGCTGGAACAAAATACCTTAGACTGGGTAATTTATAAACCATATAAATGTATTGCTCACAGTTCTGGATGCTGGAAAGTCCGAGATCAAGGCGTCAGCAAATTCAGTGTCTGGTGAGGGCCCATTCGCCATTAATGGCACCTTATTGCTGCGTCCTCCCAGGTGGAAGGGGCACGTGAGCTCCCTTTTATGAGGGCCCTGATCCCAGTCGTGAGGGTACAGCCCTCATGACAGTCATTTCCCCGAGGCCCCCCCGCTAACACTATCACATTGGGCATTGGGTTCTGACACGAATTTTAGGGGGACACCAACATTCGACCATAGCAGCCTCTTTCTGATTCCATTTCCAGAGAGGTCCCTCTGGAGGGGACGAGACAGCTGCCAGTGTGCCTTTCCTGGGTCCAAAACTAGCAGAAAAGACAGAATCTGTGTCCTAGCCTCCTGGATTGTCTTGGTTTGGCTGCCAGGTCCCCTTCATAGTGGTCATCGTTGCCAGTGGACAGAAGAGGAAGCAGAGCTCTGGTTGGCCATGCCTGGGTCATATGTCCACCCCAGAACTAGGGGTGGGATCAAGGACTGAGAGTGGGAGAAAGGAGTCCTTGAGGAGCATTAGAGGCTGTTACTGTGACAACTGTAGGCACTCGGGACCCCAGCCACTTGGGACCTGGAAGACCAAAGGTGGAGTGGGCAGAGGGATAGGGAGGGTCCTGCGACACAAAAGCTCACTCCACGGGTCTGTCCCTGAGCAGGACGTTGCTTTCCGAAGCCAGACGTCATCTCCCTGCTGGTGCAAGAGGCAGAGCCGTGGGCAGTAGACTCCGGAGTTCCCCAGGGTGTGTGCCCAGGTGAGATGGGAGCCCTGCAGGACTGAGAAGAGCCCGTCCAGGGCTCTAGAAACCTCGCCTCCAGGTTACTGTGTATCCGCTCTCTAATTCTTCATAGCAAGTTGACTCTTCAGTCTTAGTGAAGGCTCACCAAGCACTCGGTTTGCGTGAGTGAGACCAAGTCCCCATCTTCACTGAATTTACAGGTTAGGGAGGGGGAGACAAACAATAAATAGAAAAAATAATAGTAGCAATGAGTGATATGATGAGGAGATGAGATAGAGACTAGGATGGGCATGGGGGGACTTTAGAGAGATGAGGGATATCCTCTCCATGGAGGTGACATGTGACCTGAAGCCTGAGCCATGAAACAGTCTTGAGAGAACAGTTCCAGGCAGAGGAACAGCAAGGACAAAGGCTCTGAGGTGACGCATTCATCAGCTTTTACTGTGTAACAAGCCTCTGACCTCAGTGGTGGAAACCAAAGGATCATTTATGACTCATGCACCTGTGGGTTGGTGGCTCCAGGCTGGGCTCTGCCATGTGCTTGCAGGGTGACTGGTTCTGTTCTTCATGCCCCTTGTCCAGCTCCTGGGATCATCAGGCAACTCTGTAGGAATTGGGGGTGTCCCAGCCCTCGGACAGGCAATTTCCCAGTTTTGAACAGTACCCATCTCCAGGGTCCGAGAGGAATGGCCAGTGTGGAAGGGGGTCACAGTAGGGTCCTTCAGCCTCACTAACAACTTGCCCTTATCCAGGTTTGTTAGCTGCCTGTTGCTCCTGCTGTAACAAATTACAGTTGACCCTTGAACAACATGGGTCTGAACGATGCGGGTCCACTTAAACACGCATCTTCTGCCACCTCTAAGACAGCAAAACCAATCTCTCCTCTTCTTCCTCCTCAGCCAACTCAGTGTGAAGGTGATGATGAAGACCTTTATGATGATCCACTTCCACTTAATGAATAGCGAATAGTAACATTTTCTCTTCCTCATGATGTTTTTAATAACATTTTATTTTTTCTTGCTTAATGTAAGAGCACAGTATATAGACCAGATGCAGTGGCTCACGCCTGTAATCCTAGCACTTTGGGAAGCCAAGGCAGGAGGATTGATTGAGGCTAGAAATTTGAGACCCGCCTGAGCAAGAGTGAGACCCCATCTCTATAAAAAAATAGAAAAATTAGCTGGGTGTAGTGGGTGCTTGTAGCCCCAGCTATTTGGGAGGCTAAGGCAGGAGGATGGTTTGAGCTCAGGAGTTTGAGGTTGCTGTGAGCTATGATGACACCACTGCACTCCAGCCTGGGAGACAAGTGAGACTCTGTCTCAATTAAAAATAAAAAATACAGTATATAATGCATGTAACATACAAAATATGTGTTAATTGACTGTTTATGTTATCAGTGTAGTCAACAATAAGCTATTAGTAATTGAGGTTTTAGGGAGTCAAAAGTTACTTGCAGATTTTCGACTACACAGGAGGTCGGTGCCACTTATCTCTGCACTGTTCAAAGGTCAGCTGTACTACAAAGTTAGTGGCTTAAAGCAAAGGAAATTATTTTACAGTTCTAGAGATCAGAAGTACAAAATAGGTCTCACTGGGCTGTAATTAAGATGTCAGCAGGGGATAGGTTCCTTCTGAAGGCTCTAGAGAAGGATCCATTATTTTGCATTTTCCAGCTTCCAGAGGCTGCCCACATTCCTTGGCTTATGGCCTTGTCCATCTTCACAGTCATCCATGGCTGGTCAAATCTCACATCATATTCACTCTGACTCTGGCCCTTCTGGCTGTCTTCCACATTTAAAAACCCTTGTGATTGATCACATTAGCCTACCCAGGTAATGCACAATAATCTCTCTATCTCAAAGTCAGATGATTAGCTCCTCTAATTTCTTCCTGCCATATAAAGTAACATATTCACAGGTCTGGGGTTTAGGGTTTGGATGTCTTTGGGAGCCACTATTCTGCCTATCATACTTGGCGTCACTTTTTTTTTTTTTTTTTAACTTTTCACTGGAACATAACATAATATGGGTCAGGTGCCCATGTCACACCTCTAGGCCAATCCAGTATCTCGGTGAGGGTGGGATACACTGTGGCCAGGGCTATGCAGAGGGGCCTGGGTACCAAGGCAGTCCTGCCAGGAAGGAGGAGGAAGGAATACATTAGTCTGTTACTATGGTATGTCTACCGAGCTCTTGCTGTGGGCTGGGGATTCAGTGGTGACTGAACCTCCTGGCCTCCGGGGAATCCCAGTTAGTGAGACAGACAAAATTAGGCAGATCAAAGTACTCTGACCCACCACAGGTCACTTAGCATCCTCCTAGTGATGGACATTGCAGCTGTTTCTGGTCTGGGGGAGCAGATGGGTTTCTTTACATCTGGAGTGAGGTAGTACCACAGCAATAAGCCACCAAGAGGAAACTGGGGCTCAGCAGTGGGAGGGCTGGACTGAGCATCCTTCCCACGTGGCAGCCTTTCCTCCACTGTCACCTGGCCATTGCACTGCTCCTTCTAGGCCCAGTGCCTCTGTGGACCTGAGTGCTTCCTCAGCACCCTTTCCCACCCTTCTCTGTGCTTCTCCCTAGACTCCAACCATAGCCCTCATGCCAGCCCGCTATTTTTAGTGGGTTTTTCATTTCTGTCTTCTGTTCCTTTCCTGGTTTGCAAAGCTGCATAGTTTTTTGTTTTTTGTTTTTTGTTTTTGGAGACAGGGTCTCACTCTTTCACCCCAGCTAGAGTGTGGTGGTGTCATCATAGCTCACTGCAAGCTCAAACTCTTGGGCTCAAGTGATCCTCCTGCCTCAGCTTCCTGAGTAGCTGGTACTACAGGTGTGCACCACCACACTTGGCTAATTTTTTTATTCTTTGTAGAGACAGGGTCTCGCTGTGTTGTTTAGGCTGGTCTTGAACTCCCAACCTCAAGCAATCCTCTCATCTTCCCCTCCTAAAGTGCTAGGATTATAGGTGTGAGCCACTGCACCTGGCTGCAAAACTGCATTTTTAAATGGTCAAAGCCACTTGTGCCTTGAACCTTTCAAAATTGTGATCTCTGCACCCACCACAAACTCTTTTCCTCCACAACAGGGATTATTAAGGGACATTTCCATTTTTGTTTCTTTCAGAGTTGGAAACTAGACCCAAAGTCAAACTGTCAGCTCCAAAGCAAGGCATCTCTGAAGAAGAATCGACCAGTGTTGTCCTGGTAGAAATATTCCTATGGGATGGTCTGTTGTACTGCACGGGTGAGGACACCAAGGGCTGCTGGGAATGGAGTCGTGAGTGCCCAGAGAGCTGTGTGGTGCAGGTGGCCTTCACGTCTGAGGACACAGTAACTCAGGAGCAGTGGCAAGGGAATGGGTTTGGGGAAACTTGAGTCAGAGCCTCAATCTCACAACTGAACCAGTGACTCCTAAAAGGCGTGGCCCCCACACATGGGGAATACACAGAAAGATGGAGAAGCCAGACTCAAAGTTGAATGCTCTACAGAAAACCTATGCAAAAGAAAAACTTTACAAATGTAAGGAATGTGGAAAGGCCTTTAGTCACAGCTCAGCACTTGTTGAACACCACCAAACGCACACAGGAGAGAGACCTTATGAATGTCATGAATGTGGAAAAGCCTTCCGAAACAGCTTAGCACTTACCAAACACCAGAGAATCCATACTGGGGAGAAACGCTATAAATGCACTCAGTGTGGGAGGACCTTCAACCAAATTGCCCCGCTGATCCAGCACCAGAGAATTCACACAGGCGAGAAGCCCTACGAATGCAGTGAATGTGGAAAATCTTTCAGTTTTAGGTCCTCCTTTAGTCAGCATGAGCGGACTCACACAGGTGAGAAGCCCTATGAGTGCAGCGAGTGTGGCAAAGCCTTTTGCCAGAGTATCCACCTCACCCAGCACCTGCGAATCCACACGGGGGAGAAACCCTATCAGTGTGGAGAGTGCGGCAAAGCCTTCAGCCACAGCTCGTCTTTAACCAAACATCAGCGAATCCACACTGGGGAGAAACCCTACAAGTGCCACGAGTGTGGAAAAGCCTTCAGCCAGAGCACACCCCTGACCAAGCACCGGAGGATTCACACGGGAGAGAAGCCCTATGGATGCAATGAGTGTGGGAAAACCTTCAGTCGTAGCTCCTCACTCAACCAGCACGAGCGGACTCATACAGGCGAGAAGCCCTATGAGTGCAGTCAGTGTGGGAAGGCCTTCCGGCAGAGCACACACCTCACTCAGCATCAGAGGATCCACACAGGGGAGAAACCCTATGAGTGCAGCGACTGCGGCAAGGCCTTCAGCCACAGCTCATCCCTAACCAAACATCAGCGAATCCACACTGGGGAGAAGCCCTACGAATGTAATGAATGTGGCAGAGCCTTCAGCCAGCTTACTCCCCTCATTCAACACCAGAGGATCCACACAGGAGAGAAGCCATATGAGTGCAGGGACTGTGGGAAGGCCTTTACACACAGCTCCTCCCTTAGCAAGCACCAGAGAACTCACACTGGGTAGACCCACTACAGGTGTGCCGGGGACATGAGGAAGCCTTAAGCCATAGCTCATCTCTTCCTAGACTTGACCCAGGCATACTCACGAGAAACAACACATATTCATACACAAGCCTTCATACACAACACACTCCTCAGGGACCCTCAGAGAGTTTGCAATGATGGAAATGACTTCCATTCCCTGTGCCTTTGAACATAGCCCCCTTCCCACACCCTGTGTGACCCAGCCATGAACTCTGCCCATTCTCAGTGCCAGCCCACCTAGGGCTTCCCCTTGCCCTCCAGATATCCTATGTCCTTTTGAGTCCCAGCTCAGCAGCCTGTGGTCTGTACTTTCAAGACTCCCAACTCCACTGGAGAGATCTGGGCCACCTGCTTGTGCCTCCCATCAGCTGCATCTTTCTTGATGGTCCAAGTCACTGCACCTTTGTATGGGAGTTGAGACCTTCAGGACAGACCCACTGTCTCTGATGCCTGAACCAGCCCAGCCTCCCCTGAGATTAACCAGTGGGAGTAGTTAGCTGTATTTTTGTTTCTCTCTTGAATAAGTCATCCATTTGTGTTCCTTAGCACTGTTGGCCTATAAAGAGACATAAAAGATTTCAAGAGTTTTGCAGGGCTTTGCCTTGAAGGAATATGTGAACGTGTTAGTTTACAGATCAAAAGCTGCCTCACCTCAGGAGGGCATCTCACAGATCCAGGAGAGTTTTGCATGGTGACACTGTCTCAGACCTGAAGGCTGCTTGAGCTTGATGCCTCTGTAAGACAAGGCTCTGTGTGTGGTCACAGGTTGAGAACTGATCAAAGAATACCCACCCGACAGACACCTGCAGCTAGAGACAGTTGGCCTAACGGACAGTTCCTGCTTCACTCCTGACTACTTGTCTCAATCAACAAAAAACTAGATATAGAGGCTCTATATTTCTGTTTAGCCTTTCTGCCTAGTGATAATTTTATCTTAGGACTTAGAAGTTTATCTTAGAAAGATTTTGTAACCGTTTGCTCCTGTAGATAGAGTTAATTAAGGGATCTCTAGAAGCTTTTGGGGAGACTTTAAACCTAAACGAACTATATGTTATTATGTAAATGTTACCACTGGCAACTGATCGCTGCACCAATAAATACTGATGTGGGACTTCACTCATGGCCGCACAACTCACGGGAATGCTGGAGGACCCCCTGACTCCCCCATCTTTATAAACTACTTTTGTCTCTGTGTCTTATTTCTCTATTTTCTATTTCCTGTTATTTCCATATCCCTTGCAACTATCCTGCCAAGGGACCCGATTTTGCTGGGAGCATGGCTAACTCCCCACATGCCACATCTTGCGCAGATTTTGTAGTGGTCCCGAAATCTCAGTAAGTCTGTTTTTGGTAGTGGTTTGGGAAAGGAAGTTCTAACACTATTTTAGAGGCATTTTAGAATTTATCAAATTAGTAAATATTTTTGGGGTGCCAGAGTTCTCAGTGCTGAAGGGACATAGAGTATGGACTGGAAGAAGTCACAGATTGGAATTGAAGGTCTTACTGTATGTGTACGGGTACACATATACCTGTGTGTGTACCTACATGCATTTATATATGTACATATATTTCATAGCTCAGAAGACACCCTAGTAGCAATGAACACAACTAGCACCCAGATCTTGGTCTCCAATACCATTGCCCACTAAAAGAAACCAGTTCTTGGAGACATGGATGATTTCAGGGCTGAGGAAGGGCAGGACAAGATGGGCTTGGAATGTCCTTATGACAAAGCAAGGAACCAAAAAATGGAGCCATGTCATAAGGACACAGGAACCACCCGGAAGGGAGTCCTGTTGGCCATATGTGGGGCAACTTGAGTGACAAATAACTAAGAATAGCAATAAGCTATAACACATTGAAAAAACGGAAATCTATTTTCTGTTAAATACCTGGGGAGAAGTAAGGGTGCTGGCTGGCAGCAGAACTCTGAGGGCCAGCTAGTCAGTGCAGGGAGGGCTGGTGTCTGGAAACCACCACCACTCTGCGACCACCACGGTAGAGACTGACAGGCAAGAATCATCAACAGAGTGTAAATTTAGGGAGGGAGTTTTGATGAGCAGGATATTTACATGATCTTAAGGTGTTTTCCCACAGATTGCTTATTCTCTAAAAGGAGGAAAATATAGCTAAATATACAGTAGAGGAACTGTATATAGAGTTTAATATAGTTTTTATTATATATCTATATTAAATTATATTTATCTATATTAATCTATATTTATAAATTTATCTATATTAGATAGGTAATTTATAATTTATCTATATTAGATAATTTATAGATAAATTTATCTATATTATATTTATCTATATTAAATATACTGTATTTAATATAGAGTTAAATACACAGTACAGGAACTGAACGCTCTGACCAGGTGAGCAAAGGAAGCATCGCCAATAAGCAAGTGCACATCGTGCACCCCAACATCACGGGCAAGTGGGATGTTAGTAACAGGCAGGTCTGGGTGAGGCATGTGTGGATGTTCTTTGCACTATTTTTATTATTTTTGTGCCTTTTTTTTATAAGTTTGAAACTATTTCCAAATAAAAGTTTTAAAAGTAACATAAAAAAATGGGGCACAGACATTTAGCTGTGCACACTAAACAAGACAGGAGATGGGACACCGAAGAGATGGCGGGCTGGGCTCTACCATAACAAACGATCCATCTGTGGCCCTGAGAGCTGAGAGTGAGACAGATCACGGGGGAAATCTCCCTGTGGCAGAGGGAGAGGGGGAGCTCTTGGGATTAGGCCGGGAATGAGAGTTGACAGGGTACATTTAGGCTTTTTTTTTTTTTAACCAGAGCCACTCTCAGCTTGGGATTTGGTGGCAAAGAGGCTAAGAGAAGAACTAAGCTTAGTAACTGTGGCAGAGACAGGGACCAGGTAGACAGTTCTAAGCCCCTTGGGAGTGACCAGGGCCATGGGAACATTTCTCTCCACGTACATGTAAGTGGAAGTGATGTGTGTTGTCACCCAGGTGAAGGGGTGTGGCCTTCCCCACATGCCCCAAGGGTCCTGTGAAGAGCAGAGCTACAGCAGGGTCTGCGCCTGGGTCCCTGGGTCCCTGCACGGAGTAGAATGCCTCTCCCACCGACACACAAGCAACAGCAGCCACTACCACAAGACAATGGACTATAATGTGAGTGAATAAATATTTATTATGTTAAGCCTCTGTGATCTGGGCGTCTTTACAACAGATTGCCTGCTCAAACACAGTGACAGAAAGAGACACCAGTTTCTGTATCTACGAGAAGCAATTAAATTTATGCTCAGGTAACGGGAACAATGCTGTAATCTGAGAATAAATGCAAGAAATCAAAAGATCACCTTATGTAGCCCAAAGAGTTTAGTTTCTTCCCTTTGCTCAGGCAGACAGACCTTTATTAGTGTTTTCAACCTATTTTGATCACAGCCCCCTAGTAAGAAATACATTTTACATTGCAGCCAGTTCTCACATTTAGATGGATGGCTGAAAAGTTTCACAAAATAATATTCGCCTTTACTACATGATGCCTTTAAACCTATCTTATTCTACTTCATTGCTTTGTAATGCTGGTGGCCACCCACTAATTTCACTTCACAATTCAATAATGGGCTGGGACCCATGGCCTGAAAGCCCTGCATTATTAGGCTGCAAGCATTTCTGTGATCTTTGTAAGCTACTCCACACAGGTAAAAACGCAAGTTAAACTAGGAAACAGTTTCTGCTTTTGCGGATTCAGAAGTGAACTTGACATCACGCAGTTACGAGAAGGCTAAAACAGCTGGCGGGATTTCCACGCGAACAGCCCTCGGGGAGCTCACACAGGAGGCATCGCAGCAAGGGTGACTTCAAGAAAGCACTGGCAGATCACACACTTTGAGGCAACCCTACACTGTGCACAACTTCAAATGCTCTAGCGTGGGGGTGGCGCGGAGACGGCCGCAGAGGAAAGGACAGTCTTCTTTCACACCTGGATGCGAGCATCTGCCCAGGGTGTGTTTACAAGGAGGTGAGGGCTCCCGTGGCCCTTCCCAGTTCTGAGTGCCTCAGCCACAAGAGCTCACTGAGGAACAAGCAGGCGCCACGGGGAGCCACCACTCCTCGCCAGCTGGCTGCCCACCCCAGAGCCCTCACGGCGCGGAGCCTCACCTCTGCGCCTCCGCCTCCTCCGGCGGCCCAGGGCAAACCTCGCCCTCCGCGCTCTCCGGGGCCCTGCCGGCACTGCCACTGGCGTGGGCCTCGCGGGTGGCAGGGTGGGAGCCCAGGACCGCCCCCAGCACGTAGCCTTTCTCCTTCTCGTGGGTCTTCTGATGCTCGGCCAGTGCCAGGCTGAAGTGGAAGGTTTTCCAGCAGCCCTGGCACGCGAAGCGCTTCCTGCCCCCGTGGCTGCCGTGATGCTCCATGAGGTGCGAGATCCAGGCGAAGGCCTCCCCGCACTCGCTGCAGGCGAAGGGCTTCCCCCGGGATGCGTCGGGCTCCTCGGTCTCAGGGCAGCCTGCAGCTGAGGGGCCCGGATCCTGCCCGGCAGCATCGGGCTCCCCGCTTGCCTCGCCGGGCTCGGGGCCCTGCTCTTCCACATCTTCGGGGTGGGGCCGCTTCGTTCCAAGGCCCTGCTGGGGGGCGGCCGGCGTGGCCTCGTCCTTGTCCTCCTCTGGCTCCTGGGTGACCAACTGCATCTGATTTTCGGAGGCAGGGTTCGAATCCCCATCCTGAGGATCCGGAGTCTTCTGGGGCTGCTCCTCCTCCTCCTCAGTGGTACCCGAGGGGTCAGCAGGACAGTCCCCCTCGAGCCTTTCCTTCGGCGTCTCACATGTGGAGACGTCCTCAACCTTGTTCTCTGTGCCTTCCTGCTGCTTCCCGCTGTCTGAAACAAGGTGAGAACGTGAGCTGTCCACACCCAGGCTCAGACACAGGGAAGGGCCAGGCAGGGAAGCCCGTGAGGGACGGGAGCTGGGTACATGTGGCCTCGGAAGCCTGCTCCAGGCGGTCTGCCTTCCGTGAGTGTCCACTGAGCCTACAGCCGCCTAGAAGCAAGACTGTCAGCCCCGAGCTGCTCTGCAGCTAAAGAGACCGAGGGACCAGGTCTGGCCAGTGGATGTCAGGGTGTGTGGGGCTCCTACTTCCTGTTGTGGATGCCGGACTGGTGCAGCCCATCTGGGCCACCAGGGGACTCTGGCAATGGAGGCCACATGGACTGGAAGGACCAGATGGGCCCCCATGACCTCCATGTGGTAAACCGACTGGCTGCACTAGTGGCCCCTGGGAACCACACCTCCCAGGAACCATACCCCTGGCGGTGCCCCCAGCTGGCCTGTGAGACCCCCCGAGCCCAGTGGGACGTCAGCAGGCACAGTAACGCACGGCAACACGTGACAAGGCACAGCAGGGTAGAGGCTGATGAGCGCTTACCCTCTTAGAGCTCGCTCGCCCTCTCGGAACCCAGCCGCCAACCATGGGGAAGCGGCCCCGGCCTCTTGGGGAGGCCATGTGGAAGGGCCCCCGGCCGCCAGCCTCAGCGGAGCCCCGTCAGAGCCGGCACCTCTGCCAGCAGGTAGGGAGGGCACCCAGGGCCACGTGGCCCTGGCCCAGCCTTTAGATGCTGGTGGCTGTGCAGGGCCCAGCAACCTCCGGTGGAGCAGAATGGCCCCCGGCTGGGCCCAGCCCACACCCAGGACCTGACCGACACTGCTGCTATTTCAGGTGGCCACGTGTCGGGTGGTCTGTGGCGCAGCATGAGATCGCGGAAATAACTAGACTCCTGTCTCCGCCTCTGCGACGCAGTCAGGAGAATGATGGGTGAACGCGAAGTTGTGGAGCCGTGAGGACCCCCGTTCGAGAGAAAACGCCTGCCAGGCCCCCGAGGCCTGCTCCCCAGCCCACCCTCACCTGGGAGGTCGCCTTCTGCCGACTCTTTTTCCACCAACCGAAGGTCCTCCTCTGTCTCCAGGCTGGAGGCAGCATCAGGCTGGGAAAACTGATACCCTGAGTGGGGTTGAAAAACCAAAGAAACTGAACGACGCACTGAAGCAGAAAGCTGCTGACGGGCCTCGCGTCGCGCAGGCTGGCCAGGGCCAGGACTGCAGCCCTGGGATCCCCCACAAAGCCACTCCCTGTCAGAGCCCCTGGAAAGCTGGGGGTTGTGAGACCACGGCAGCAGGGATGGAGGGGAGGGTCCGCTGGGCGAGGCTGGAAGGGCTGGCGGGGCAGACAGGCGGCGGGGGGACGGGGAAGCAAGGGTAGAGAGACGAGAACATAAAAGTAAAACTATGAAGGGCTCAGGAGCTGTGCTGGGGCCTCCCTGCAAAGGAGGGTTTCTGGGGCAAGAGCGTCTATGCAAGAGGGAAGACCCTTTGCCAGACCGCCCAGGCCCAGAGGCCTCGTCTCTACACCCAAGAGGGGAATGTCCGGCCTTGGGGTCAGGGGGCCTTTCCCTGTTTGGAGGCTCCAGGTCTACGGGCAGGTGCCACGAGCCCCAGGCCCAGGCAGAACTCACGTGCAAAGGCCAAAAGGGCGGGACTCCGCAAACGAGTGCAAGTTCCAACACGCTCAAGTTCGAATACATTTCAACACCACAGTCTCCCAACCAAGCCCTAGGGGATCGGAATTCCCAACGCCAACAGTCGTGGAAGGGGACGGAGGGTGGGGCTCCAGCCTGTGGCAGGCGGGTCTCACCCCACAGCAGCAGCTTCCTGTAGCTCTTCATGTTCTCCTCAGCGGGGTCCAGGTGGCCCCACTCCTCCTGGTGCAGAGGCTCCTCCCAAAAGGACTCTGGCTTCTGCAATGGCAGCACAGCTGCGGCTGAGGCTGCTGCCCGCCCGCAGCAGGGTGAGCCCACAGCCCTGGGGCCCTCAGAGCAGGTGAGAGGAGCTTGGACCACATGCGCTGCAGGGCGGCCCCGGGCTCTCCCTGGAGTGGGCTTCTCAGCCTCAGCACTTCGGAGACTGGCTGGGCATTAACACAGGGGAGGGAGATGCCGCTAAGCCAGGCTGGGCTAAGGCCAGCCCCACACCCCCAGGACACCCGCGCCCCACTCACCTTCGGCTCAGCTGTGGCAGGGTCGGCCTCTTCCGTCTTCGCTTCTCCCATGCTCCCCAGCTCTGGAAGCAGGGGTTCCATGGAGGGCCAGGCTGGGAGAAGGGCAGTCAGAGCTGAGGAGTTGAATGCTCTGTGGGTGGGTGCCCCCAAACAGTTGGGGGGACCCCACCGCCTCCCTGAACAGGCCCCAGCGTGCCCACATGCCAGCAGGGCCCCAGCTCCACTGACTCGCGCCTGTCCTGGCTTGACGGAGCAGAGCCGCCAAGAAGACAAGAGGGGCTCCAGCTCGGGGCTGGCCTGCGAATGCTAATTCGAGCCACGAAGAGAACACTTTTTTCTACCCACTGGATTGGCCGAGATCTTACAAAGCAACAACACACAGTGCTACGCAGACAGCACAAAACTTGTGGAACACCACGGGGAAACGTATGTTGTATGTGAGACATAAAACTCACACGCACTTTGTCCAGCGATCCTGGGGAGCCCCCCCCGCCCCGTGCACGAGGACACGTGACTGCAGCCTGGTTCCCAGGGGCAGAGAGCCCAACTCCAGGAGGAGGACAGGCCGAGGACACGGGACGCCGGGCAGCGAAGGACCCGGATCTCTGCCCAGGCCGGGAGGGGCCGCCCACCGTGCTCCAGGGCGCCCGCGCCCAAGCCCTCGTGTGCGCGTGTGACAGGCAGAAAGATGTTAAGGGACACACACTGGGACACTCGGACACTGAACTTTATTTTAGAGAGTGGGGCAGGGTGGGGAGATTCCTTTTTTCCTTATACATCGATGCCTTTTCACCGTGAGGGAAACGTGTCACCTGCGCAACCTCCGAAGAGGAATGTAATGAACAACCTACCAGCGCTCACGAAAACCAGGCTCTGGCCCCTGCTGCTGACCTCCCCTGGTTCTGGCCCCGACTCCCCACCCATCCTGGCCACCAGGGGCCACCAGGGGCAGGCCAGTCACTCACGAGTCGGGGGGTACCCGCGTCCCAGGTCCTGGCTGGGACTCAACGGTCCAACTGGAAACAGCAGCGGCTCAGGGAACCTCTCGTACACACCCTCGCTCAGCACCGAGGACGACCCGGCGGGGGAGCCCAGCAGCATCCCTGTCCACAGCAGAGAACAGTGAGCCCACGGGGCTGGGGCACGTGCAGCAGCCACACTGTGAGCCCGCGGGGCAGGCTCCAGGCCCAACACCCCCATCCCTCAGACCTGCCCTAGACATGAAGCTGGTCCCTGCCCTGGACTGCCCTCCCCTGCTCTTCCTGCTTCCTCACATCTGTAGGGCAGATGTGAGGGCAGGAGCCCAAGCAGCTGTCCTGGCCCCTGAGGCGACCCTAAGGGTGATGCCATCAGACAGGATGGTGGGGGCCTGGCCCCCTGCTGACTGAGGAGCTGCCTCACCAGCTCCAAGCTGCTCATCGCTGTGCCTCTTACCCGCAGGGGAGCCCAACTCTCCGAGGTCAGTAAGGCACAGCTGGGTTTGGGCTCCGTCCTCCAGGACCCCCTCCCCAGCCTCCTCTAAGGCACGCTCCTCTCTGGGACAGCCTCACCTGGCTCATCCAGGACGTCAGCGAGGCCCTCCACCAGGGAGGCCGCCTTCTTGCAGCTCTCGGGATACTGCGCCACCACCCAGGGCCGGACCCTGTCGGGCAAGATGCCCAGGAACTGCTCCAGCACCAGCAGCTCCAGCATCTGCTCCTTGGAGCGCGCCTCGGGCATCAGCCACTGGCGGCACAGCTCGTGGAGCCGGGCCAGGGTCTGGTGGGGCCCAGCAGCTTCCTGGTACACAAATTCCCGGAAGCGCAGGCGGGAGAACTCGAGGTCGGCAGGAGTCCTGTCGGTGACAATCTCAGACTTGGGTTCCTCCTGCTGGACCTCAGCTGCTGACTCTGCAGTGGGCAGTTCTGGGGGAGTCGGGGAGCTCCTGGGGGAGGAAAATGCCTTCTCCAAAGGCAGCATCTTTCCAAACCTGCACCGCAAAATGCAAGTGTGTCCAGCCGGGGACAAGGTAGCTCCAAGGGAGAGACACCAAGGATGACAGGATGCGCAGGGGGTTCCGGCGTGCCAAGGCCAAGACCAAGGACCTGCAGAGGACACAGACGAGACAGATGCCTGCACGCGAGAACCCGGGCACAGGCACCCATGTCCGAGAGCATGGTAATTTTTATGTTGAATAAAAAATTAACATAAAAAGAGGGAGGAGCAACTCATTTGAGAAGATGACTATTGTAACGATTATGGGTATGTCACGGGTGGGACAAAAAAATTACAGGACAACCTCAATTGTAAAACTAGATGTAAAAATCTTAAAATATTAGTAACCTCACTCCAACCATGCACGCTATATATATACGATGTAGATAACAACACACCAGATTTGCGTTTATCCCAGAAAATCAAAGTCTGTTTAATATTTAAAAATACATATTGTGACAGATGTTAACTAGGCTAGGCTAAAAGATAAAAATACATATTATGAGGACTTTAGTTCCTAATAACATGAAGGGGCTAGGGGTCAGGACTGCTCCTCCCATTAAAATAGCCAAAAAATATGAAATATATGTTCAGAAAAAAACGCAGAAGTGGGAAGTCCACTCTGGAGACTGGTGAAAAACCGCCACCTGATTCTGGAAACGGCACAGACCTGCAGGCCTGGACGGACCATCTACGGAACCAGGCGAGAGGGGACAGCAGGCCGGAGTGGGGTTGGCAGGGGCAGAGAGGTCAGGTCCTGGCCAGCCCTCCCCACGCCCAGCTGGATCCCTTGTACAGGGCAGCCCATCACTGCAGAAGAGCCGGAATTCAGGACCTCGGGTGAAATCTCAATTGTGATCGTGGGTGAAAAAACAAGCCAGCTGAACAAGAGCCCAGCGGGCCACGGTGGACCAGGCCTGGGATGTCCTCACTGGCCGTGGACACACAGGAGTGTGGCACACATTCACTGACACACAGGAGCGCGAACAGAGTGTGACCAGCCCCTACCAGAGCACACGGGGGTCTGCAGACCCACAGGGCCAGACCCCCCGCCGAGACAACAAACCAGACACAAACAGAAAGCCACCCCCAGACCCCGTGTGAGCACTGCCCTGACTGAACCACAGAAGGGAACCACTTTCTCTCCCAAACTCAAGTTTGAGGAATTCAAGAAAATCCATGCGTGGGCCATAGTCGCAGCAGGAATGTTTTCTCGGCAATCCTACTTTTACAGAGAAAACTCTGGAAGATGAACTGACGTGGCACCAGGCATTGTACCTCTTCTCACATAAAGACAGAGTCTATCTGCTCTGATGTTTCCCCACCAGGATATGGGGCACAAGGACCTCCTGGTTGTGGGTGGGGGTGTTTGATTCCACAGATAAGAAACTTCCAGAAGAGGCAAATCCAGAGCACAGTGTAGATCAGTGGTTGCCAGGGGCTGGGAAGTGCCTGATGGGTACAGAATTTCTTTTTGGGGTGATGAAAATGTTCTAAAATTAACTGTGGTGATAGCTGCGTAACTATGAATACTGTATCAAAAACAAATGAATTGTCTACTTTAAACAGGTAAACTTTATGGTGTACAAATCATATCCACTTCCTTCAAGGAAAAAAGACCCAGGCCGTGCCTTCCTCATGCCACCTCCACCATCCCCCCGCCCGCCCCGCCGCTGCTAGACCTGCAGGACTGAACTCCCTCCTCCTGCCCGCTGACCCCTCAGAGTCACTCTGTCCTTAAAGCTCTGGGCTCAGAAATGTCCCCTCTGGGAGATGCTCCCTGCCTGCCCACTGGAACGTGGGCCCCAGGGGAGCAGGGGCCCCTCCCAGGCAGGTCCCTGGGCCTGGGGGAGCCTGGCTCGGCGTCTGCTGCCTGTAGCCGTGGGTTCTGCCGCCGGGCACGCTGGCTCTACCTAACTTCTTTTTGGCCATTATGGACCCCCACGTCCATCTATCTGGGGTCAAGTTTATGATCTGTCTGCAGGATAGATGTGGAAGCAGGACACGGCGGCTACAGGGTACACGGCTCCACCGCCACCCTCACGGCAGCACACGCCATGGCGCCCCTTCCTCACACACCCCACCCCCACACCGAGGACCCACCGACCACCGCATCTGCCCAGCGTGCATCTGAGCACTTTCTCGTGATTTCTCGATCTCTGAGGGTGGGCAAACCGCCCGCTTTTCCACAGTGTTTTCTTTGCGGCTGTCAGGTAATGAACGAGCTCTCTGCCTGGCTCCATCTTGCTATTGCCCCGTCCGCAACTTCATGCTGCCTTTTGGTCACACATAACGTTCTAATGTTTAACATCAAATTTGACCTTTTAAAAAATGGATTTCTGAGTTCGGAAACCTGTTTATAAAGGGTTTCTTGCCCTATCTCAGGATAGGAAATGCATTCTCTGTCGTTCTCCTAGGGCAGGCAAAGGGTAGCAAATACAAAGGGACAGATAAAAAGTACTTTAGGCTCTTAGGGCCAGGCCATCGCGGTTGTGACGACTCAGCTTGCTGGAGTGAGGAGGCAGCGGGAGCCCTGGGTGCCCGTGAGGTCTGGCACGCTCCCAGACAGCTTCACCTACAGAAACAGGGCATCGGCCGGCCTGCGGGTTGGTTTGCCAACCTCTGTTCCAGGCTGATCCATCCAAAGCCTCTCCTGACGACGAGGAGTGATGCCAGGTCCAGCCAGTTGGCACCGGACCCACGGTTGTGGTCACGAGAGCACGTAATTTTGGTTTTCTTAGGACACCACAGGCATGTCCATCCTGCACAGAACCCGTCCCCGCAGAGGTAACTGTGAGCTCAGCAACGTGTGCACAGGGCTCACCCCGAGCCCTGCCTCCAGGCTCACGTCTCCCCTCCTCAGAGCCCGGCGGTCAGAGGGGCGGGAACAGGAGCAGCTCCAAGGTGCAGGTGGGGAATCAAGCGTAGAGTGGGCAAGTGCTGGGGCTGGGGCCCCCCTGCAGAGCAACACGGTGTCCCTCCTTCCGGCTCCAGGTCCCTTGTAAGCCCCCCAGTGGGCAGCCTCTTGCTGGCTCTCACTGTGGGGGCCCCAACCCCATGGCCTTCACAGTGGTCCCGCAGCCCCAAGCCCCTCCTCCCCTGCAAACTCCCGTCTGCACGCATGGTGCAGGCGTGGGGGGCTGCGTAGAACGAGCGAGGGCCCTTGGCCATTGCCAGAGCAGAGTGGGGAGCACGGAATACTGTGGCTGGGTTGGTGGCCAACACAGAGGGGTATGCACGTCAACCCCTGGGGACAGGCATGGGACATCGTCTGCTCCTCTGTGCCCTCTCCCCTCAGCACTGCAAGCTGTGAGCCTCTCCAGGAAGCCACCTCAGCCTCCATTCACTAGCAGAGAACAGCAGAGGCACCCGGGGGTCTCCTCAGAAAGATCCCCCAGTTGCAAGGAGGTTGCTGCATTCTCTGAGAACAGCATGTGGCTTCCTATGTCTGAGATCTACTCCACCTTCCTTCCTAAGGTGGCCCTGGCGGTCAGAACCAGGAAGATGAGCCGTCTCCGGAGCCTCCCGGAACCTCTGGCCCTGAGCTTGCCTTGCTTGCCTCCTCCGGCCCCGTCGCTGGTTATGCTGCTATGAGGACTTTTCTGTTAGGCACAGACACCACCGGGACCCTTTCCTGGCCCTGGCTTGCTTGACTGAGGCCACACCCCTCAGAGTCCAACTTGGTCACCAGGCAGACCTCCCACCACCCTGGGGCTGTCCAGGATTTGCCTTGGATGGATATTCCTGGAGCCCAGCGCCCCCAGCATCAGCAGAGGTAGAGAAAGCCATGGTGGGTGGCTGAACAGAGGGGTCCCGAGCCTGGTGGGCCTGCAGAGTCCTGCAGCAAATCCCCTTCGCCCTGACCTGAGCGGAGCTCGAGCCTGGCAGGGCCCTCCCACAGGCCCCACCATGACCTCAGGTTTCCTCTCCAGCCCCACCTGCCTCCTCCAGGACACTTAACCACCTAAAAGACATTCACCATCAGCTGTCCGCTCTGCTCCCCACCACCACCTGGGCCAGCAAACACCCCACAGCCACAGGCCCCGGGGTCCTCCAGGGAAGCTCACTGGTAGGGAGGGGAGGTTGATGGGTGGCAGGATACGCACAGGGTCTCCTCTGGCTTCCCCTGCAGGTTACTTCTTCATTATAAAAGGGGAGAAAGTGTCTTTAAAAGAATTAAAAGAACATGAATTGAGGATCACTGTTAACATCCCAGCTGCCCTGTGTGGTCCCTGATCCACTCAGGAGGACCAACAGGACCAGACAGACATCCTGCACACTGGTCTGGGCTCCCCTGACCCTCAGGGCCAGGAATGCCAAGGAAGTCCCAGATCCGAGGATCCACTGGCAGAGAAACAGGACTCGATGCGACGAGCGGCCCTGTCCTTGCTCCCCAGCACGAAAAGAAACATCTACAGGACACTGTTGGGATTGGGGAAGTGAAGATGGTGAGGGCTAGACCACAGTGTGGCGTTGAGGATGACGTGACTGTTGACTTAGCCTCCCCAAAGTCAGGG